GACGGATTAGACCGAAGCACATGCAGGGGCTGGTATGCGTTGGTTTGAAGTAGTTTTGAAAATGAAATCCTCCATGACTTAGCAAGTTTTTACAAACCACCGATGTAAGAACTAGTAAAAAAAGCAGCAAAGGTTTGAGACAACAATGAAAACGAAAAACAATCGTCGCCAGTTCAAAGGACGCCTTGGCAGGCATTGGAGCGCCATATCTACTAATACGTTATCTGTACTATTTTTGACTAAAAAAAGGAGAGACAATGGTTTAAATTGCTCTCTTCACTACATGGATTTTTGAGCATTCCAATCGCCCGATCAAAAAGGTTCAAAACTTATGTGAACCCTCCATTATTTATGCTCCAAGCCAACCCAGTTGGTTCGGTGATGGTCTAGAAGCCAACGAATTCGGAAAGGGTTTGGACACATAAGTTTTTGAATCTTTGATGCCGTTTTTAAGTAGAGGAGACGAGTGAATGCCTAGAATTTTTACAGTGAACTGTGGCGTCAGTCGGTCAGCAACTCAGTGATTCAATCCTAAATACTCTGGTACCAACTTGCTGTCCTTTAGGACACTATTAGCAGAGAAGTAAGAACTTTTGAATCAACGCTATAGGAGGAAAATCGTGCGATTCGGATTGACGTTCGTTTCTAGGAATAATTTCACTCAAAAAGAGGATAAAGTGAAGGACAAGTGACAAGTGGCACTACTTCTTTTCTAGAGACATCATTGTTCCAGTAAAACTCTAGACAAAACTGATCACTGTTGAGGAGACTCTGCTGACCAATGGAAAGATAATACCACATATGCTTGACCTATCAAATAAGGAAGGTATTGGTGGTAGTGACGAAGAAAATATCTACCACCAGGGTTCCTGATGTCGACCCCGCTCTTTTACCTCGTGCGAAAGAGCCAACAACTTTTGATTGCTATAAGTATAAGTTTCATCTCGTTGTTTCCTGCTAAGCACTGCATAAATATAACTGACTTGGCCCATACAACAACCACTGTTACGAAAAGGAAGTGACAAACGGTAGCACGTGGTTTACACTAGCTCGCGCGGTGCAGTTTTGGTAAACTACCCATACTATCTTTTCAAGACTATCTCAGATGAAATAGAGAAAAGTAAGAAGCAGAAGAGGGGAGAAATGTACAAGACGCGAGACTTCCTTAAAATCTGACACTTTGGTACAAATTAGGTTCAAATTATTTAAAAAAAAGGAAGTAGGAAGGGGGTTCTGAGAGAAGAATAGCTTGCTAATACCGGATTTTACGTCATTAGTCAGAATACGCAGGAGATAGTATGTTGATATTGCACGCTGTATACCTTTAAAACAATGTTTTGCACGGATCCAGGAATATGCGCGTTCCTTGCGAACCGGCGCTAGTACGATTCCACGCATAAAGTGGCACCGTTGGATGTAAGCCATACCATCAAACCAATGCCTATACTTAGTAACGCCTATTTTGAACATACACTGTCCATTTCGGACCATTGTGCCCTTGAGCCAAGATGGCACTTCACCCGTAATTAGGTAAAAAAGCATTTATATATTAAGTAATGATAGTAAGTTAAAAAAGCTATGTTGTTTTCAGATAGATCAAACATACAGCTATTTGTCCACATTCTCCACATTCTAGTTTTGGTAAAAAATACTTCATGGAAACAAAAATCTTGAAATGCTTTTATCATTTTAAGTGGTCTGTTTGAACTTTCTGATATTAGCTTGAGCGACTACCCTTGAATGTTCAACAGATGACTTTTGAATGTTCTCCATCTGTGATTTTCTGAAAATTTCAAAGAATTCTTGTCGAAGAAACTCCAGCAGATACAGTTCCCAATCAAGTCCAGGTCGTTGATTTAGCTGATATTCCGACAAACATTTGCAGAGGTGTGGAACTTCCAGTAAGCGCAACTCAATATTTGATATGACGGAAGTACGAAAAATTATTGAAGTCTGCTGTTGTTATGATACCGAATCTTGTCATCTGGGAGCAATAGCATAGCGAGTGCTCAAATGCATTAAATTGGTGCAGCAATAATGCGCGTTTTCCTAGCCCTTGTCTTAAGATAACTTTTTTTCCATCAAACGTTCTTCTCTGGAATAAGCTTAGCATACTATCAAGAAGGTTTTTTTCATGCCTTATCAACGGTGCACAGAACCGGCTTTAAGCCTCATTCGTTGAAAATTAACGGAACTTCACACGACCACTCGAAACCACAATTTCATTGCATTCAATTTACCGGCCAGAATTCATGTATGCGAGAATGAATGCATTCTTTTTAAAATACAGCTACTGTATGTAATAGAAATTTTCTACATAATGCACATTTTATTATTTTTTTAGCTACTTGGATTAAGATTTCGGCGCTTCTCCGGTAATCGTTTCGGACATTTCGTGGACCTAAATTTCCTTTAAAGAAGTCAGTCGCCAAACTTTGCCCATTTCTGTGAGTTAAGGTTGGTCTTCTGTTGACAATTTTTGCAAATAATTTTAGCTGTTTAGTACGCAAAAAATCAAAAAAAAACTCCATATTCTGGGATTTCAAGGGTTACGAAAAAATGTAAAAAAAAGCTGACAATTTTGAATTTTAGTTTCTTTCCTTTCCAAAACTATTCTTCTTTGAGACGTCTTCATCGTTTTTGTACTAATGGCTTACGGCTACGAGATAGGCTCTTTTCATTGTGTCAACAAATTTTGAAGGGAGTTACGAACAGTTGAAAACGAAGTCTAGAAAAAGGACTCTTTCTACTTATCAAACCACATTTTTCTGCTCGTTTGTGATATGAGTATAAATGGAGGTGCACTGTACTGTGAATGTTTGCTGCTTTTGATGGTCTTTATCGCATAAAAAAATGTGGATCTCTCAGAAATTCATAGCATGTGAAGGTGAGAAGTCGCAAAACGCGCATTACTTTTGCACCAATCTAATATATGATATAACATCAGTTCAAAATTTTGTTGGGAATGGCAAAAGATCACAGAGGAATGAGAATATCTTACCTATAAGCAGGGTTCGGCACAATTGGCTTAAAAGCAAGCTGAATATCGTTTTTAGGAGAAAAAGCAAACGGGGTTTCGTTTTTGCGGTCGAAGAGACGCAATGCGAAGTTATTTCTAGTCGACGTTTTGTCTTTGGAGATTTTTTGTAAGATTATGGTCTAGGGTGAAAGGGACTTCGTAAAAATTCGCAAAAGTCAAGGGGGACTTCGTTTTTTGCATTTTCATCTAGCCACCTAGTGCCGAGCCCTGCCTATAAGTTTCCTCAACATGACATTCCGGAAGTTCTCAAATGGTCTCGAGAAACTCATGAAATATATACTTCTGAAGGAAAGAAATTGGCAAAAGTACCTGACTGGTTCGAAAAAATGTTAATAGAATGGTACAAGAATCAAAAGCAGATGCAGATGAGGTGCTCTTTGATGACATATGTCATGCTGACACAGCATGGGTGGGTGCCTTAGCCAAGCGATTTTTACTGAAAGGTGGTGCTCTCGACTAAATGTTGACCCCAGCGAACGCATCAGTCTTCGACCAAAATTCAAACAAAACTGCGTGGCGATGAAAAACATTGCGCTGAAAGGTTGGAAGATAAAGTGCATTCGAATTTCCGCAGTTTAGACAACTGTAAAATCATCATTACTCAATAGTCCGTACCGATGACAATGACTTAGGCGCTTTATATCCCTTTAAGGAAACCTGCTAAGCAGGAAATGGTCAGAACTTAATCCAGACATACTAAACAAGGCTATACACCATAGGGCACGCCTTGGAGCGCTTATTTCAAGTATATGTTTATTATCTGCCAAACGACTATCTGGACGGAGTTATGGGCGTTTGATTTGCGATTTGTCAAGTGTTCTGTGGCGCATGTTTCACGAAATGGTTTTCAAAAACGCTTGCTTAGGTTTTTCCTGAATGTGGTTCTTTTTTATGATCAGAATAACCATAGCCCCTGTAAGTCTGCGCCATCAGGCTGTCTTTCCACCAGCTATATTCGTTGGAACTCGAATAATTTCTCATATTTGAACACTTATAACTTTTTCCACACATTCATTTGGCAGATAATAAACATATAATTGAAATCGGCGTTTCGAGGCGAATCCGATGATCTACAGCTTGTTTCTAATGGCTGGGTCAAGTTCTAACCATTTCCTACTAACAGTAAGCTTATCTAGAAGGTGCATCTTTTACGATTATGATAGGGGACACTTCACTTCACCACGTTTTTGCAGAATATCACTATACGTTCGAAACATACATAGAAAGTCATGAATCTACTTGTACAACATCGTAAAGCGAGCACCAGAATACAAAGTATATGATTTTTCAAAATCTTTCCACAGCTTTCTCACCTTTCAAAGATTATTGGCAACTGGAGAAAATAAATCAAGTGCTTTGTAGCTGTATCAAAACCAGCATTTTTCTAGAATTTGATTCGATTGAAGCTGATAAGGAAAGGCATATAGAATTGCAAAATTTCAATTGGGGTGTTTTCTGCCATCCAGCCCAATTCTGCGGAGTTAGAATGTGCTCTTCCTTATTTTAGTATGCGTGATGTGCCATGTTGCAATTTTTGCCTTCAGTATGATCGAATCATTATTTTCTAAAAATCTATCGAAACAAGCAAGTTCGTCGAAAGGTAAGAGTTTTTAGAAACATAGGGCCATAAAATAGTTTCAATTCTGCGAGTCAACTATCAAATACAATAATAAAATTCGGTCTTTCATACTCCCTGATAAAAATAACTGTTGGATAGAATGTCAATGCTTTGTTTACAACGCCGAATAAAATGCATATCAGTGTGCAATAACTGTTATGCACACATTTTCAATCCATATACAGTGATGACTATTCCTTAAAAAATTTTTTAGAGTGTAAGTATTACTCCAAGGATATAAAAGCACAATTTTTGAACAAATGTCAATTAATTCCGCAGTCCATGATAGGCGGGCTAAGAATTTCTTTTAAATAATGTACTTCGCGCAAAATAGATCTTTTCGTTCATTTCTTCACATAATAACATGCTGAATATTTATTTCTCAGAAAGCGAAAGAAAAATTTGCAAACATGATGAACTGGAGCCTTCATGGCTGCTTCTCAGCTTCTTGTTTGATGGGTGCCATGTACATACGATGAGCTTGGCGACGCAACATAAGCGGCTCGGAGCAATAGTTGGTTGAACTGCATGGTGCTATTTCGCATACGTACGGCAATCCTTTTGTGCATGAATGGCTCTTCCAGAAGTATCTGAAAGTTAAGCGAACGAAGATGTGACAGCGCATCACATATTGGTCTAAAATCTCACTTTCCATTCCAGTTGTCGAAGGACATGGATACGCACTCATCTCCAGTTTTTGGCGCAACGTTGTTGTACCACATCGTAAAGTCGTAAGGTGTAAGCTGAAAGACAGAGAAGGTGTCAATTTACGCACGTAGAAGTTATGATTGTCACAGTGAAGGAGTCCAAAGAAGCAGTAATAATGGAAATGAATGGACAGTGTTGAAAAAGAGAAATTGAAGATGTAGGAGAGAAAAGTTTCGATACATTCATTACATCCTCTGATCTTTAGAATAGTCTTATGTGTATGAGGGCAAAAGATCCATTGCTGTTTCGATGGCAAAAGAATAGGTCATAAAATATATCGATTGCACCAGCAAATTCACAAAGTAACCTTTGTTTCAACTGGATTGACGGTTGGAAGGAGGGGCTTCGTAACCTGATTAAGGCCTCTTGCGTCCGCGCGCTCTCTGATCATTCTCTAGCCTTAACTAGGTCACGAAGCCCCGCCTTCCAACTGCCAATTCTGTTGAATCAAAGGCTATCTCGAGCCTCATAATCACAACAGACAAAGCTATTTTGAGCTATCTGTTATGGGCTAGATCTCATTACGTAATATGAAAGTCTCTTCTGGTACACCAACTTTCAAGAAACCTATTCATTCTGTACATTCTCTGGAACATCGTAACACCGACTTTTTCAAGGATTAAGAAAAAGTTAAATAGTATCTCACTTTGGAGCCATCCTGCCACTGAAATTGTTGACCGCAACAACGTTTCAGACCAATCAGTGCTTCGCTTTTCAATGCAGGTTTCACTGCAATGGTATAGCTCTTTTTGATTCAAATATATAAACACAAAGACTACTACGAATACTTACTGTTCATTAGGAACTCGGCTTTTTGGTAGTTCTCAACTTTTACGAGTTTTCCATTATGTTCGAGACCGCAGCTTCTTTCAGCTCCGCTCTAAAGTAGGAAAAAAACCTTTGTTTTATTTCCTTCAAATTACTTGGTTTCCAAACTTACTCGCTCTGCTGGCATTCTCGCTGCTCTGTAGCAACCGTATTCAGGTCTGCTATTAAGGTAGGGAACATAATTGTCCGGACAGAAACAGTTTGCTGAAAATCGTTCGCTTTCGATGAATTCAGGAGGGGAGTCAAAGGCAGAGCTCAGAAATCAGGGTACCTGGACTTCTGATCGTGAATGAGTCTTAACTGAAACATTGCCATGTGCCAACTATATGGTTCATTCAGAGGCAAAAAAACGGGCGTGATTTTTCGATCAGTACCGTACTATTTATGGCCCAAACCAGGGCTCAGCACAGCTGGCACCGGGTCAAGCTGGATATTGTTTTTAGCGCGGGAAGCAAAGGGGATATCGTTTCTACAGGGGCCGAGGCGGAGAACTGCCGCAAAAATGCCGCCGGCATGCCACCTGCATGCCATTGGCAAGCTGTCCATCAACAAACAAAGGCGTTGTTTTCAGCCAAAACGCAATAGTATGACACCAAATTTGGTGTGTACATGCGCGTTGGTGGACCGGAACTACGGGCCAAAAATTTATGAAAACTTATGTGAATGAAAGCTGTGCCCAACTTTTTTCTGAATTAGCTGGCACCGTGCCAGCTGGGTGCCAGCTGAGCTGGCACCGACACTTTGCTCACATGAGTTTTCTTACTTTTTTACATAAAATGTATCTACACCGTAAAAGATTACATACGGAGAAGAAACAGTTTCATAATGTTCTCTTTTCAGCGTTTCATAGCAATTTGAAAACCACTCGGTCCGCTCCGCCGTCGAAAAATCGGCTTTTTCTGCTTCTCAAGATGTGATTCGACCACTTAAAAAGCTCAGAAAGCTGTGGAAAGTTCTTTCATGAAATCAGAAATGCATGAAAACACTAATCATTTTTTTACATAATATAAAAATGATGACGGGTTTTCAAAACAGGTCAAAAAGAGCTTCGTACGAAATTTTCAATATCAAACGGGACTTCGTTTTGAAATTTCCCTAGTGCCAGCTCGTGCCGAGCCCTGGCCCAAACTAATCAGAGTCCGAACGGTACGAGAGTTTGAATTTGGTTTTCTCAGTCACAGGTGAATCATATCTAGTTATTTGGACAATGGCTCGGTAAAAGCCTCCAATCAGTTTTCACATAAGATACCCGGGCACCCAAACTTACCTAAATCGCAATTAGCTTACCTCTTCCTAGCATGGTAGCCAAGGTGTCATAATTGAGGTTGTCGTGCTGATTACCAGTTGAATATCCTTCGCTAGCAATCTTAGTAAGGATTGGTACAGGTATGCCGCCTTCTTGTAGATACTCTATAGGTAAAAATTACTTGGTTAAGCAGTCGACGCAATCGTCGTATTTCACTGAAGTAATACCAGTGACGATGTTTAATAGCTCAAATACAAAAATTTTTTAAAAATATTTTAGCATGATCATGAATCGATAGTTGAAATCTGACAATTTGGCAAAGTCGTATAGAATGACACCTTACCAACAGTAATTAATATGCCTCCAAAGTCTTTGAATGTGTTGGCCGCCGGAACCGGGCTTTCGCTATTCTTCCTGCAGAAAACTCAGTAGCAGAATGATTTGTCATACCCTTGGATTCAATGGGTTCGGCGGCTGAAACGCGGAGCTTCGAGGCCTAATCAAGGCTAGGGAATGATTAGGCACGCTGGCGAAAGAGAAGCAAACTACGTCGCAGGTGCGCCTTCTAGCCGATGAGCCGCCTTCCCGTTGAATCAAAGGGTAGTTCGTAATTAACTATGTATATTAATGATGATATAACTTTCAAAATTTACATGCATAGTAGTGTAAGCGGTCATCCAGATAGTGTGCTCAAGAGCCGAATCAAGTCATTGCCAGGAAGTGGATGTTTACTGACGGATAAGATACAACGCAAAAAGACAAGTTTTCAATTTTAAGGTTCTACTTTCGGGAAAACGTAGTTGACAGCTTCTTCAAGTGTATGTATGCTTCTAATTGATTTGTACATGTTTCTCAAGCTTTGATGAGAAGGGGAGTTTTTGCTAAATCTAGCTCTTATATAGACTTTTCTATTGGTTTCTATAAGAGCTTTGGTCTTTTGGGCTTACAAGCGCGGAGCTTCGCCCTTACTTTATGCGACCTCTTCAGCTTTCGAGCACAGTGCACGATCTCTCTCATATTTGTTACCTCAATACTCAACATCCCAATCATTATTCACTCAATTTTGGTGCTGACAATGAGTCCATTAGCATCTCAGTTTTTTACTCGCACAAGATACGTCGATCACTAACATGACATGCAAGACCATGCTCGTACATAACTCAGTAATGGTATATTACCACATTTGTCTCGTTGTATGATTTCCGTTTGATAATGAGCAGCAATCCGATGTTTGAGATTGGTTATTAGACTTATATTGCGGTTCTGCTCACATATCACTGTGAACATCCGATGAATTCACAGATTTGAGTTAGAATGTGAAGACGAGGGATCCGCCCAGTTTAAGACGCACAGTTGTTGTAAGAACTTGCGATCATAGCTGTATGCGCTACGCGCACTCTAGCTGCAGTTCGAAATCGCTGTTTGGGCGGTATCCAGGCTTACCGTGACATCAAGGCCACATCCGGGCAAGTTCTAGCGAACTTCAAATAGCTTGATAAGTCGGGCAGCCGTCTCTTTGCCGGGACGTTGCCTTCAAGCCATATGCCAGCACGAAGTGACAACGCAGATTTTGTGGTGAAAAGAGTGTCAGACTTGAAACAATCAAATATAGAACATACTGTCGTAAGTTCAATGACAAGTTAAACTCGCGCAACATAGCAAGCAGGGATGCGCGTGAGTTGACGAACTGCGAAAAACCGTGCGTCACTTGGGTTGTTCTACCGCGACGATTACTGTAGCATATACGCTGCTACGAACTTTCCTCCTTACCATATCTAGCCTTACATTTTTATACTCTATCTGCAGTCCGACTACCCATATAGAAAGGATCAAAACCATACTTATATCCTGCAGCTATAACCACGATTACTTTTGGCACGTTAAGTCTGTGAGATCTTGAGTTGAAAACACCATTGGCCATTTGGAGTGCACTGAAATCATGGCGATAAAGCGCAAACTCAATAGGTTACATATCTTACGCACGCTGCCATATTTGTGCCGCTTGATCCACTGTACGGTAGACTGAGTTTCGAAATCAGATCATTCGTAGACCGCCAGTAAGTTAAGTCATACACTAGCTTAGCATCGTCAGAGTATGTGATAAATCTAAATCACTTGCGTACACCAGAGGTTTTTGCGGCAGTGGTAAAATGTCATCTGAAAAACTCACCCTACTCGTGTTTGTGTAGGCATTTGACCTACTGACAGATCTCGCATAGAGGCGGCAATGAACTGAGTCACCTAGAGCGGCATATTCAGTAGCCTTTGTTAGTCATCTATAACAGGTAAACCACACCTCAGCAAAGCCTGTCTTTGTCATCGCAGCAGACGAATCAACTACAAACATCACATCTACCCAGACTGTGCTTTTCCGTATATCACAGAGGTATTTTTGAGGAGTGATGCCCTAAAATTCGCTGCTCTGAGATATGGATGTCAGTTTTCGGTTAGCCGAACCACCGAGAATCAACAACAATTTTTAGGCTGCATTCGTGTGAAGCTTATCTTCTATCAAGGTAATTTTAGTAACCTTGATACCAACATTAAGCTCATAACACCGCTTAAACAAGGTACTTACGAGTTGAACAACTCGCCTGAGTAAGTGGTTCCATCAGCTTTCCACATAGCGCATCTGAAAATTCTCACTACTAGTACGCAAATTTACAAAAACAAATAAGATGCGCACATAGCCTCCTCTTCCCTTCCCCCTCCACCTTCCTAAGAGTAAGCATAATTTACAAAACTTTGTTACGCCTGTCTCAGAATCCTCTACAAATGATTTTGGTTCAATTTTCAAGCTCTTTGTTTTGAATTATAAGATTTGGTCAGCATCATGGACTAAAAAATGCAAAAGTTTTTCCTTTTATTGGGTAGGGGACTATACGTCGTCGATGGATGGTCCCTCCGGACATCTGCAACAAGTACACATTTCAATACATGCACAGGCTGATTATCTGCTGCATTGTCCGCGTGAGACCCCTACTTTCGGCGACATATAGTCCTCTACCCTTGGAGATTTGTTCCCATCAACTCAGTAATGATTTAGAAGCAAAGTAATCTTACCTGTGGCAAGAAGGAGAAACAAAAGAAGACGGCTCATGGTTTGCAACTGAACTGCATATGGTGCTTGTCTCAACCGTATATATTTCCTTCTCTCATGCGAAAAAACCTATTTCGTTGAAAATTTAAGCATTTTGCTGATTACTACTTTGCTATTTTAAATGCTTTCCTTACGTTTATTACCATCTTGAGTCACTAATGACATTGAAGTAATGTGATCTTTTGAGATAAGACATCACTTTAGAAAATGTTGCAACGAATCACTCTTTTTTGACGCTGTCTAGCCATTATGCAATAGAACAATCATGCAATTTTGACAGATTCACAAAGACGACATATGATTACACGATAAGCATTTATTCTTCCGGGGCATGATTAAGAGACTAAAAAAGTCTAGACGTTGTGATGATTTTTTTTGAAGTCTCTAAACTAAAGAAGAGTCATTTGAAGACTGACAGCACGTATAATAAACAGCCTTAAAACCGGAATAATGGTGTACTTAATGTCTATTTTTGTCAAAGTTATGAAGAGAATTATGCGAATCAAAATTTCTAAATGGTTCCAAAGTTCCAATGGTTCCTTTCATATTCAATAAACTTTTATCAATGTGCTTACCATAGCTAAAAGAATGTTTTGAAGTTTGGCTTGACCTTAATGCGCTCATATTGGTTAGATTTATTTTGAAGTATTCGACAAGGTTCCTCTTACAAACCGCTAAGTGAAAGCAATTTTAGAATTCAAACTAGAGGCTAATGTCCAGCGGTATATAAAGGTTCTAGCCTTGATAACTGAAAGAGCACATAGATTGAGGAAAACGTTTCTTTTACTGCAGAATATTTCACAAGACAAAGACCAAAAAAACAAAACAATAAAACACGGATCGGTGGGAGGAAGGAGGATCACGAGTTGATCTTTTAGCATGGTTAGATGCGGTTAATTTTGAGCGCCTCGAAGCACTTCAAGAGGCATTCCGGGAAAGACCGGTAACTTGGAATCTTATTTTCGTGCACAAGTGGAAGTCCTTGGCTACTCAAGTGCGATGTCATATCATTGGTAAAGCGAAAAATACAAAAATTTGAAAAACTTATGTTTCATTAATTTCAACGAGTGCGCATGTGGTTACAACCAAAATCATAGTGTTTACAAAGATTCTAAGTGAGCAGGCAAGAATTTTTCACACTACAATCTATGATTGTGGACTTGCAAAAGCCTGTTCTGTCTTTAATTCCTTCGAATTTTACAAGGTGACGAATAAGCCTAGGCAATCGAAAGTATGATAGCTCGATTTTTGTCTGAGTGCTGCCTCTAATGAGAAGGGTCTTTCCTCCTCTAAACATGCTTCTACTATCCGAAAATCTCTCTCCTCGTGAAGAACCCGTTATCCATCTCTTTTCAACCCCCTAAACGCATCGTACCTCTTTCTTTTCTTGCAAACATCGTATCCATGATTTGCATTCCTTTTCTGACAATATTGAAGGTGTTTTTTAATGTCTAAAAAGTCGACAAATATTGTAATTGGTTGGCCGTCATCATTTTTGTACTCCGCATGGATGTAGGCGCTCGGGCGAGTGGAGCAGTCTAGAGGAAGCCAGATTCGTTTTGCAGAGGTTTCCTTCAAAATAATCTAATCCAGTCTAGCAATCGTAGTCAATAAAACCCGAGTGGTGTACTTCAACTTTGAAGTAAAACGCCTTTCTTGTTCTACGTTGAAAATGAGTAGACTCTTAGGAATCTGGGTGTTTAGTCTATAAAATAATGCTCATTATGCCTTTAACAAACTTCATTTCCTCAATCAATCAGTTTGGGCCCGAACATAGTTTTAATAAACCGAAAAGGTACTACAAAATCATATGGTTAACAGTTACCAGCTCGATGCTCAGTCAAATTAAGCTAGCTTTGTTCAAGTTCCGACATCACTTTATTTTTCCTTTTGACCACTTTTCACACAAAGCAGCGCTAGATTACCTATTAACTATCTGGATCGTCACATGCATATGAGTCAAGAGGCTAAGCAGTGGATGAACGTTCAAACTGCTATGCTCAATCTTACAATACCATGGCCGCATCACACGTTTCGCTGTTTTAGCCATGCGCTGCATATAACAGCAGCCTAATCTCCGCAATATTTGGTTCATGTTTTAATGACAGAGATTTCATCTATACACCATTCTAGAAAGTGTACTTCTTCTGTAAGCACAGAAGAAAAGCTGACAAACTAAGAGAATGATCCATTCGCGCTGTTTTTCGACGGAACTTTCGACGAAGTTAAGCAGGAATGGTAGAAATATTGGACCATCGAGAGGTGTTCATCCGAGAAGCTTACTTATTGCTTTCCGACCTCATATGCTGATTAATCGAGAGTTCTACTTGGAGACAGAAGATCGCATACGTCATCTTTTGGTTTGTTGTGATAAGCCAAGCAGAGGAGTTTCTTGCGCTTTTCATTGTGCACACACGATGTTACGCAAAAAAAACCAATTTGCAATAATAACGGAAAGATCAAGGAAGCCACGATGGTGAGATAAGCCAAAAAGGAAAAGTTGGAGAAATGTACAAAAAATATTGCTCGATTTTCAAGTGTATGGTCCGCAAACAAAGACATGCATCTGTGTTACCATGTTGAGCCAACTCCAAAAAGCTTTATTGAAAACACCAGAAATCATTTCAAGACAGTACTTGTGGGTAATAGTGGGGATAATAATACATGGTGATCCACTGATCGTCGTAGAGCCTATAGATTCCATGATCAGCGATCCAGCTGTAAGAGTCGAAGCACCTTTTTGCATCACTCCTTCGAGTACTAAACGAACAATTAGTCGTAACTTTGAATATGATGCACTGTCTAAAGTAATCATTACAAAGATTGTCTTATACATTACTTACATAACCTTGTGCCCGTCAACACTAACTTCCACTTCACCGATCAAAAAAGGATCAAGGTGATAAAGTTTTTCGTCGAACTCCTTATTGCTAGGTCTTTGCTGAAAGAGTTTTCTTAGTATTAGTATCAAAAATGCTTTTATAAGCTCCAGGGATCTCGCATGCTCACATGACTGAGCGTATGAGATTGGTGGATCTCAAATATTTGTCAAATTTCGCCCTTAAACGCATTTTGAGCTGGTTATTACAAAGAAAGTGAAACAATGGTGTCGAAACTTTGGCGATTATCTGAATGACAACGAAAAGAATCAGTAAGTGAACATAGCTACTATGAGGAAGAAATTTTCGAATGACTTTGAAACGTCTGTTTTTTTCAGGCAATAATTTGACTCCAAGAACGGTAAACTTCCGGCACAGTATATTATTATTTAAATAACTATCCAATTCAATAGCATAAATGATACAGAAAATCTTTATCAGTTGGCACAAAACAGCGCTGAGCTTCTTAGCGTTATACACATTTCTTACAAGGGAGAGATATTTGATGAACGTGGTATTTTGAGGTGAAATTAACACTGGCAAATGCGTCTTGAAACGCTGTTTTTGAATCTATAATCATTATCTGCTGTGCGGCTTCTTGAACGAAGTCAAGGACTTTTTCCAAATCAAACGAGATTTAGGGAGTGCGAATTGTCAGTATCCAAGCTTCTTAAACTGTGATATATCGAAAACACTTTCCCTGAGCTTGAAGTAAAGCTTCATATTGTTCAGACACTTTCGCGGCCATAAATGTAAAACTAGCGCAAGTGAACATTTTAACAATATTAGTAAATTGTTTCACCGAAACAGTGCAGATTTTGGTGGCAAGGAAATGTTCATAACTTCTTTCGGAAGAAGCACAGCAGATGTTGAGGGCAGAATTGAAATCAGCGCTTTAAGATGCGTTTGATGATGCAAGTTTCATTTCAAAGCCAAGGTCACCCAGTATCCTCCCCTTGTTAGATTTGTCAACCCTTACTTTTAAAAGATTGCGGTGCACGTTTTGCTCTGAATATAAATTCTATCACCTGCAACTTCTTATTCTCAACGTCTTTTTATACAGAAATCTCTTCGTTATATCTGAACTCTTCTTGTATCTCGAACTCCGCAAAAACACTCACCTTATTGTCCTTTATCGCATAAGAGGTGCAAAAATACGTTACTGGGCTCTCTCTTGCTGGTTGTGTATGGCGCACACCGAGCACGATATGGTAACGACCTTTAGAATCGTAGGTGAGCAAAGGTCCTTTGAGCTGTAAAATGGTTTTCTATAATTTTTTATAGCAATATCTTGACATTTTTTTACATTTCAAAAGCACCTTCTTTCTTGCCAATTCGACTGAAATATTTGCGCGGAAAGGTCCAAGAAAAAAGTGTATTTTGGAATTAGGCTCGTCAAGTCAATCTTTGGAAATAGTTTGACTTTACTGGAGGACTCGCTAAGTGGAGTGCTTGCAAGCATTTTTGCAATAACACTTAGAAACGTTCAAAAAAAATTCACAATTTATGGTGTTCGGAAATGCAGAGCGCCGTCCTTTTTGTGCTTTGGCCAAGCGATATGCTTAGCTTATCAGTATACTAAAGACCATCATATTACAGACGCTTGGAGACACGAGCCAAATTAGGTTTTTAAAAATGAAGCGGAAAAAGCAATGCATCTTCGCCAACTTTTCAGTCTTATATATAAGTAATCAAGATAATTTATAAGTGAGGTAAAATAACATAGTTGCAAGCAGGGTCAAGCGTGGGGTGCGGCACGCCACACCTGGGGGGTCCTATTGAAGAGTCAAAAGGGGAGGAGATCGTAGTTGGGTAATCTGATAATAGTGATAACATGATATTCGTATCCTATACATAATTAGCATGTCAAATAACCCTCTGTAGACAAAGTGTGAGCGAATTCTGAAGATTCAAGATACTCGGCTACCTAAGTGAAATGGTCAAATTTCAACATGGTTAACTTTGTTTCAAAGGTGAATTAGCTATCCGTTTTTGCACTCAAGACAAAGCACTACTCCATTTTGTCCACCTCAGGAATCCCGCTTCAGAAGACCTCCAAACTGTGGAATTAGAAGCCAACCAAAATCTTATTTTTCCCATTTTTCGCTTTTGATCGCTGTGCTTTCACCAAATATTACTCAGAGTTAAGAAGATAAATCAGGCTCCAAACAGTCCTATGGAATCTACAAAGTTTAGGCTATCGATTCATATAAATATTGTCCGATTCCATAGGACTGTTTGGAGCCTGATTCGTCTTCTTAGCTCTGAGTAATATTTGGTGAAAGCACAGCGATCAAAAGCGAAAAATGGAAAAAATGAGATTTTGGTTGGCTTCTAATTCCACAGTTTGGAGGTCTTCTGAAGCGGGATTCCTGAGGTGGACAAAAAAGGAGTAGTGCTTTGTCTTGGGTGCAAAAACGGATAGCTAATTCACCTTTGAAACAAAGTTAACCATGTTGAAATTTGACCATTTCACTTAGGTAGCCTAGTATCTTGAATCTTCAGAATTCGCTCACACTTTGTCTGCAGGGGTTATTTGACATGCTAATTATGGATATGTTGCCCATTATGTTTGACAGGGCCTTCAAGTAATGTTATCTTAAGTGTATAGTTCAGGGGGGGGGGGTCTTATTAAGACAGCAATCAGGGGGGGGGGCCGTAACCAGCGATCGTGTGCCACACCCCTTGCTTGAACCTGGTTGCAAATTTGATCAAATTTTGTAATTTCCTTAGTTTTCGAAACATTTACGGACTCCAATCAACAGGAGGAAGTTTTGCGTGTGTACAGCAGTTCTTGTAGTTTTTCAAAGTAAAAGCAGCTTAATACAAGATACTCTACAATGATCTGATGCTATATGTGTGCTACATGCGAATGGAAGACAACAACAGAGTCAAACATTTTTTGCTTATAGTTGATTTAGTTTATATCAGAGACCATTACTGGATTGCATGTGGGATTATAATATAAATGAACTAAGGCTGAGTTCCCCATTTTGAGAAAGTGTACTGGAGTTTGTCTACAAGGTCGATCTCAAAAGTACAGACAAAAACCCTACTTTTTTCTGACTATTCAGTGTAAATGTCCCCCGACATTCCTTTGCCATATTGCAATTGGTGTCAGTCCTGTAAAAAAAGCCTGTCACATCTACGAATCAAAGACCAAAATGTGGTAAAATCGTCAAGATGAGTTTGAAGGTAAAGCAAATGCACTGTACGTTGAAGCACGTACATACTCCAAATACTTTGGTCACCATCGAACAATAGAACCTATGATCGCGTATGATCAGCTGCACAAATTCGCCCATATCACAGTAGGCTGAGCGTACGCGAACGTATTTGGCGCGGCTGCCACAACGGTAGGCGGCCTAGGATTAGCGTCAGCACTTGCTGACTCATGTTGTAGACAGCCGCTCGCGCCACGCTCGCGGGCATTCAGCTTACAACGATGCGGGCGACTACGTGCATTCGACTATACAAAGAGCTATGGCCGCGCAGAAAAATCATTTCATGCATTGGTTTCTGAGTGTTGAAGAGTTGCTGATCTGCACAGATAAAGTATTGCTACAAAGTTTGTTTATGGGTGCATTAGAGTGGTAGAGTGATTTTTCTTTCTAGATGTGTGGGACTCTACATTTGAGATGCTCAGCCTTTCTTCTCAATCAAGGGATTGGCCATAGGTTGCCGGCAACTGTTCCACGCTTGCTAATGCTGCTGGAGTTGTCGCTTAGAAAGCGCATATCAGAGACTACTACGAGGTCCTGTAACGACCGTCAAACTCGGTAACCGTTGCCTGCAGCCTATGGCCTTCCCTAAAGGGTACAGTTGTGGTCAAACTTGAACAACAATGTTCCTAAGCAAAAAAGGGTAAGAAAAGCACGACCATATGGTGCCAGGACCGAACTCAGCCGAAAAAATTTGCTGTTGCACATGTGCAGAGAAACCTGCAAGCGAGTTCAACAAGATTATGGTAGACTCAAGCAAAAGAATAGGTGCACATGCTCTGGGACGATACTGGGTTGCCCCAAGATGGTTTTTTTACACCTAATTCTTCTTGATCACTGCATGGTACTATGACAATAATTCGAACATTTTCCCCAAGACGAATAGCTTCATGCGGGCTTTTTTGGAAACTCCCCTATCAAGAATCTTCAAGAATCTGTTTACGCAATGTCAATTCAAACTCTATTAGATGTATTTGGAATTTAAAGAGACTAAGCCTGCACCGTTTCAGTCGACAAATCATTTTTTAGCTTATACAAGCTCCATTTCACATGAGAGAAAGCGTATAACCTTATCGCTCAAAGCTAAACTGTGAAACTTGAGCAACCCACCATGCAGCGTCGATAATTCTATTATTATCGTCCGTGTGGTATATCGTAACTGAGTCAATGATCAGTCTTTGATATCCTTGTGTATGTATATCTTTGCACGCTTTTTCTGGCTTCAGCGAATACTAAAAGTATTTGTTGTACGACATGTATTTTACATACGTCGAGGGCAGTGTCGCATGTAGATCTTGCATAAGAATTCTAAAATATGTTACAGCTGAATTACACTGAGGCCTTTATAGACCAAGGCAATGTATCCTTGTGTATATTTCCTCGGTACTAAATTAAAACCGAAACGAAGAGATCTCTTATAGGCGAATGAACTGACAAAAAGTTGACACTCATTTGCGGATTGGCTTTTATTCTCCTTGTATCTTAGCTTGATAAAAAGTGAAAGTAAATTGAGGATCTAAAAAGGCGTGTAAATGAAAATCAAAATAAAAAATATAAAAAATATAAATATATAAAAATATAAAAATATAAAAATAAATAAAATAAAATATAAATATATAAAAATATAAAAATATAAAAATATAAATAAAAAAAATCAGTGTCGTCCGTCCGCAACATCTCTGCGGCTATCGTCCGCTGCTCCTGCGGACCACTAACATCCTCATCACGGTGGATCAACGGTTGGTTCCTTCTGCCAGCGTGCCTCTCTGTACGTTGTGCATAAGACGAGGTCTAGACTCGATAAGTACGGAGATGACGTTTGGCGGCGTAGTTTTACAGGTCAGGACTGCAATCATCTTTCAGACCTCCGAAGAAGACGACCTTGTCGAAACGTTAGGTCAATAAAGATACCAACGTACTACTCTGGGCTTGGCAGAACATCTATTACAATTTAAGGCGTGTAAATGATTTTAGCAGCTCACTAGATATAAATCTTAATTTGTCGGTTAGAATATGTTCTGATGGGTTTTTAGATTAGAGCCATAAGGCCTCGGACAGAGTTCATCCGATTCAATCGCCGCGCTTTCCATGCATTTTCATTTTACATTCAAAAATTTCGGGCTGAAAAAGTATTACAACCGAAATGCAAGCTGGTCGGCATGCCATGAACTCGTAACAGTTGTCTTGTCGCAATTGAACTGCGACGATCAAATCGCGTTAACTCTGCCTGAGGCCGAAAAGAATTTTAGGGGGTGTGGGCCGATTTGCACAACAGTTGAAGGCAGTGTCCAGGCAAATCTGGGCATATGGGTTTTTTGCCTGAAAACTGATGGGGAGGGGGGGGGGGGGGGGAGGGTCCAGCTAAAGCACTGCCCAAACCGCATCGCAAATGATTCAACGACTAAGAAATCCATCTTCAAACACTCCGCGGGTGCGCCGTGATCGTAATACTCGGGATGGGTTCAGCGCGAATTAAAGTGAGGGAAGGGAAGTCGTTTTCGGGTTGCTGCCACGGCGCAGGCGCGGGGTTTTTGGAAACGGATTTCCCAGCCGTGAGTGAACAATTTCTGCCCCTTGAGCGACTTAGTTAGGGCCTCCTCATCAATTTCCGGGCGAACAACCCATGCGACCAGATTTGCCTGGACACTGCCTTCAAAAGCAGTGTCCGGGCAAAAACTCGATTTTTATTCACTTACCCGAGACTATCGCTGATAATGCTGAATTCAAAAATCTATATTAGAAGGTGCGAAGGTGGCCATAACATGCGTTTTCCAAAGCCTTACTTAGAAATAGGAGTGTTCTCGTTAAGGCTAGGACGCAGAGTCGCTGCGGGATCCTACAACTTTAACTGCGGCAGCATGCGCACTCTGCCGCAGAGGGGAATGCAAACAGGTGAAGAGCCCTGTCTCAGGGTGTCCCAATTTCCGGTCATATATCTTGGCTGCCGTTAGACATTATGGCCTCGCGCTTGCGCGATGGTATGTTCGAGGGCTCACTTGCGCATGGGTGAAATCCCACAACTCGCTTGTCCGGACAGTGCCTAAAAGTTGCCAGAGCATTTCCATATAGGACCACAACTGCAGGAACTTCTTCCCACTTGCGCTTCGTCTTACTCATGGTGACTGATACTGCCTTGTTTGAAAATCCATACTAAAGGACGATCTTATGACCAGGAATGGTATCCACGAAAGTCCCCGTGAAATGGGCTTTTCGTGCGAATAAAATGGACTTAGTCCATGCGGTACGATAAGATATCGCATTTGCGAATCCATTCATTCTATACAAAAATGCTTAGGCAAACCTTTCTCCAACTTGTCTCAACCTGTTTGCTCACTTTTCCAAACTCATTTCCATCAAGTGGTCGATATTTGACTAGGCTGACCTAACATCACGAGAACAGTTACGTTGATATTCTTTTCTTTCCCACTTCGTTACACCCCTCAAAGTGCCATTTATTATCGATGACTAGGCATATAAATTTCTCCCAAAACTAAAATTCATGTAAAATCCAGGCCTTCGCTTTTCAAGACTTCTATGAATCTGCATTAAATTAAATTCGTAAGTAGAGCTTTGTGCAGAAAGCAAACTTTGGCTGGACTTGCACTGCAATCTGTGAATTAGAATGCTTATTAGGAAACCTACTACACTACAACCCAAAAAGTTTTTTTTTTAATTTGGAAAAACTATGAATTTGCAAAAGACTTCGCAAATGTACTACTTTAGCTCTTCTTTGTCTTTCAGCGTTAATGTTTATATCTCTAAGAAGTTAAATGTACGGACTATTGCTAAAGAAATTATTCACAATTTTTCTTGCTAGCTAGCGGCACTTCATTAATTCTTGCTACCAAACTTAAAATCGCGTTTGAAATTTTGTCTTTGAGGTTCGGTTTTACGAGAATAGTCAAAAGATAGCTTCTGAGTAATTGTATTAAAACGCAAATCTTTTTTACTTTCAAACACAAATCATAAATTTAGTTTTGGTTGATGATTTGGAGAGTTAACAAACGTTATACGATTTACATAGGAATATTCGCATCGACCTAATATTTGGAAGCATTTGAGTTAGTTAACGAATATTTAGGTGAATTTTACCTCCTTCCATGAGTTTTACAGCATTTATATGACTTTAGAAAGAAACTTATTTCAGACTTTATAAAAGACATGAAACTTTTTCCACTCTCCTGTTACCTCAAAATAGGCTAAGGAGCACATTCTCAAAAAATCGCAACCAAAAATATGCAAAAAGGTCAAGAATGGACTTGCTGCTGGGAGTAAAATGGGTCCATTTAAAATGGAGGTAAATCTCATTTTGCCCCATTCTAAATGGACTTTTGACGTCATCTTTCGCAAGCGAGAGCTCAGGTAGCTCATTTTCATTTCACCGCATTGCCTCGTGGTTGCGATGGGAGAAAATTTTTGGATAACGCGAGCGAAAGCACATTCCGACCACTCTTCATCGCCAACGAGTAAAATGGGGCTTGAAAGTCCATTTTCCTCCATAAAGGACTTTCGTGGATATCATTCCAGAGTTGAGCAAAAGGTCAAGCACAAGTCGTTCGGAAACGACCCCCCCCCTTCCAGGAAAGCCCCAAACGACCCCCTCTTAATCCTCTCCACCTCCGGAACCCCAGAGTGTGACACTCTGGAGAAGACGGTCTGTCTTGCAGAGTTTTTGAATTTTACTAGACTGTATGATCGCTTTTCTGATTGCACATTACAAGTACACGCAATTTGACGGTAGATTTTGATGTGAATCGCCCTACTGAACGAGCCAGAATTTCCCCAGGTGTAGTATTTTGCTCCGAATTTTCACTGAGGCAGAAGAGGCTACGAGCTCAATATTCATACCAGGAATGGACTGGTTTCTGAATTTTGAAGACAAGTTAAGTAGGTCAGGCGCAAGGCTACAAAAGCTCAGGCGGCCTGACCTTTTGAGGGGATGCGCCTGACCCCATTAACTTTATCTCCGAAGACGCTTTTTCATCCAAGTTTTATGTATTTAGCTAGCACAAACCTCGAACATTCTACAGTAGGTGTTTGAGCTTAACTCGACTTGTTTCGGCTTTGTGGTAATCCGCGGAGTTGACTCACTCAAGGTGAAAAACCCGATGTTTGGAATATTGGCAGTACTTCCTGATCCACTATTTAAAAGCGATATGAATTCTAATTTCTAGTATAGACTGATAGGGAACATTACATAAAAAAGCTGACTTCTTTCACTTTTGAAACCAAGTTAATCATGTATGAATTTTAGGCTTTTTAGAAGATAGAAAACGCTAGAAAATGTATAGGTAATAATGTAGTGCTAGTAGAGGTGATTTGATACGTTAATAACGGAAACTATGCTCAATTTACACAGCAAGTTTTTTTAGTGACCTTATTAGTGTAAGGTAAGGGTGGAGAATTAAAATTTGGCTGAAACTTCGATGTAGTCGATGTAGTCAATCAAAATGCTGGTCACGACAGTCATTTCTTCAATGCTAAGTTGTGATATGCATCGGTCTAAAGCTTTTCTTCTTCAGCTTACTCGGTCGTACTATTTCGTTTTGAGCGAATTCGATTCTTGATTACGACCCCCCCCCCTCAGTCTTACCGCCAATACGACCCCTAGGTCGGGTGCGCCTGACCTCAACCTCAACCCTGCTTATGACACAAGTTCTTGGCGATTGCAGGAGACAAATCGCAGTTAACTTATGTGTAAGCCCCAGGGTCAAGCGTGGGGTGTGGCACGTCACACCTGGGGGCCGTAAAGGGGTCAGGAAGAGGGGAGGGGTCGTTGTCGAGGTGATAGTGATGTTAGCGACATTTGTCATTCAAACAATCATCATGACTTATAATAAAGTGCTATGCGTCTGTCTTTTTGTGCGTGTGTGTGTGTTTGTCTGTCTGTCGCGAAATTCATAGAAGGAGCTGCAGCCAAGCTATCGAGCTACAATTTTGCACAGCATACCGCATCAACATGTAGGTCCGCCATGCACAATGACGAGCCGGTTCAATAAACAAAACTACAACACAACTAGCTAAACAACGCTAATTTGACTTTAGGCAAAATCGTGATTTGCCTGACTAAGTCTGCACTTCACGAATTCTGGCCCAACGTGTCCAAAAGGTTTGTTTTTCTGCGAAAACAGCGCGAAAAAGTGGTGATTGCGTAGATAGTCAATTTGGCAACGTTTCACCTTGAAATTTATTAAAATTTTTGCACAGAAATGTAGCTCAAAGTGACTATTTTCCTTGTGACGACTATCAAGCCAAAACAAGTTCAGTAATCCATTCAAACTCGTACTTTTTCCTTTGCGAAGAAGTTTTTCTTCTCAAATTTACCGATCTTACATGGAAATGCTTCTAGAATGAACAGTTGTTTACGATTCATTTGTGATGATCAGCATCGCATGGTGAGTTTCAAAGCCATCATTATGCGAACATGAGAAAGGCATACGGATATTAGAGAGTGCGAACCCAGGGCCCGGCACGAGTCGGTTTCTAGGGTTTTTGAAAACGAAGTCTCTCCAAAGTTTCGATAATTATACGAAGTTATAATTATTACCAGTGCGTCACCTCTGCTTCGCAGAGGCTCGCACTGGCCTTACATTCTGTATGCCTTACTAAATCCCGCATAATTTTGACAGTGAAACTCACCGCGTTATGCAGGCTATCACGAATGATTTGTAAACAGCTACTCATTCCTAGAGCTTTTTGTGCGAGATCGGTAATTTCACGTGGATGAAACTTTTCTCAGAAGAATAAATGCAAATTTGAATAGGTTTGCGGACTTCTCATGGCTTGGTAGTCGCCTTAACGGTAATAGTAATCGTGGGCTGCATCTCTGTGCAAAAATCTTCTCAAATGATCACGTAAAATCGTGGTAAATTGAACATTTACGCACTGATACTTTTTGGCGCCATTTTCGTAAAGTAACCAACTTTAGTTGCATTTTTTTGGGCTGAAGTTCACGGCTTGTACATTAGCTTGTCAAACATATCCACGACTTTGCAAAAAGATTATATACGGACCCAATTTTGCTGGTCAGAAGTTAAGTAGACCCGTTCCGCGCGCAATTTCTAGGGGATCCACTCACTGGATCCGCCTGTGCTTTTGCACAATGGACTTTCCTGCTGCTAGGATCTGTTATGCAAAATTTGGGCTCAAAAGGTTGGCTGGAACTCTCCCTACGAATTTCGTAACGGACAGACAGACAGACACACACACAAAAAAACGTAAACAACCCTTAGCCCGTTATTATAAGTTATGATATTAGGTTGAACCGAAAATTCGTTCGCACCATTTTCAAAAAGTCATAACTTCTTTCCATCACGACGATTTTGCGCAAATTAAATTCTGTTAGAAAGCGTAAAGCATGTGGTTTCAACAGTCCCCTGGCGACTTTCCAGCATGTTCAGATTGCAGATATAAAAATGAAAGAACGAAAACATCCGAAATTCGGAATTTTTGAGAAACAATTCCAAAAATTTAGAAACTGCGCGATAAAATCCAGAAAAGCCATTATCCTAATTTTTCTTACATTTGATTACTAACTGAGTTAAGTTTGTGCTGATCGAGCTCTTCTTTCAAAAGTTATAATTTTTTGAAAAAAATTCCGAAAAATCACTTTCCTAAGAATTCCTAAGAAATTGATTTTTCGGCATTTTTTTTTCAAAAAATCATAACATTTGAAAGAAGAGCTCGGTCAGCACAAACTTAACTAAGTTAGTAATCAAATATAAGAAAAATTAGGATAATGGCTTTTCTGGATTTTATCGCGCAGTTTCTAGATTTTTGGAATTGTTTCTCAAAAATTCCGAATTTCGGATGTTTTCGTTCTTTCATTTTTATTCGTTTATTCATTTTTACTTTCATTTTTTCTTTCATTTTGTTTTTTCATTTTTCATTCTCTGCAATCTGAACATGCTGGAAAGTCGCCAGGGACTGCTGGAAACTACATGCTTTTCGCTTTCCAATAAAACTTAAATTGCGCAAAATCGTCGTGACGGAAAGAAGTTATGATTTTTTGAAAATGGTGCGAACGAACTTTCGGTTCATCCTAATATATATAATTATTATAATTCCTTTTTGACCTACCTACTTAGGAAAAGATGGAAACAAGAAAGATTTACTAGTCTGAAAGAAAAATGAGACAAAAGTGAAAGTTCAGATTGGAGCTATAATACGCATGCACAAGAGTTTGGCATTGGAGCGCGATATTCAACAAAGCCAGTTATGAAGAAATTGAGGCAAAAAACAAAGGAAAGGCAGTGATATGAAAATGTTTTTAGCTCAAAGTTAGATTTTGACTGGGAAATCCGTCCATAATAGAAGAATCGAAAACTTAAGTGAAGCGACAGAAATATATGCTCCAGACGATCTCAGATCGTCTGGTGACCGTCTGGAGACGGATTAACTTTGCAAAAGGCAGTACTTCACATAAGTTTTCAGATCTTTTTGCAAAATTCTTTTGCAAATAATTTTCTATGCACGCAGTTCAATTTTGGTGTCATACGATTCTGTGTGCACAGTAAACAAGCAATTTGTTTATAGCCTTGCTTTCAGATCGAGCGCACTTTTCGCCATACACGAGAGAGCATGTCAATCGTGTGATAACCTGTTGGAAGAGCTTGTGTTCGATTAAATGGCGCTTATTCTTGGTGCTCGGCCAAAACTTGCAAAAACGACTCTTTTGCTTTTTCCTCCAAAAACGAAGTCCAGCCTGTTTCTAGACGATCTGCGCCGGGTCCTGTGCTAACCTCCGGAGGTGATGCACTAGTGATCATGACTTATAATAAGCCGCTTAATTTGAGGCTGTGTGGAGGTTGTCCGTTACTAAGATACAGTAAGGAATGATTTACATTGCTCTGAAGTATGTGAGAGTAGCACGAGAGGGGAGGTTTATTTTCATTTGGGATTGCTACTGGACTGAAAAATGATGCACGTCCACGTAAGTTTTCATCTTTCCAAAACGGCCAGTGCATGCCTCTGCGAAGCAGAGGTAACGCACTGGTTTATAATAAAGCGCTTAACGTCTGTATCTTTGTCCGTGTGTCTGTGTGTATGTCTGTCTGTTCACGAAATTCATGGGGGAGCTGCAGCCAAGTTAAAGAGCTACAATTTTGCATAACACACGTACCAGCACGTAGGCCCACCATGCACAAGAACGAGCCGGTTCCATGAGCGGGTCCTTCAAATTCTGCGCGTCAAACGGGTCCACGCGGCTTTTGGCGCGCAAAACTAGGTCACAAATTCAACTTTTTGCAAAGTCATGATTTGCCTGACAGGTAATTCTGCGCTCCAAGAATTCCAAAAAGTTCTCAAAAAGTTAGCTTTTCTGTGGAAACAGCGCCAAAAAGTAGTGACCGCGGTAGAAGATCGATTTGGCAAGGTTTTACCTAAAAAATTGAAAAGATTTTTTCACGGAAACGTAGCACAAAATGGCTATTATCTTTATGACGATCACTAAGCCAAAATTAACTCAGTAATCTATTCAAATCCGCAATTGTTTCTCGGCAAAAAAGTTTTCTTTTTTAAAACTACCGATCTTACATGGAGATGCTTTAGAAAATGAATAGTTGTTTACTATCCATTTGTGATGTACAGTTTCGCGCGGTGAGTTTCAAAGTCATCATTATGGGAGCACGAGAAAGGCATGGGATAGCAGAGCCAGTGCGAACCTCCGCGAAGCGGAGGTGACGCAGTGGTTACGAATATGTTACCAGTTATGCTTGGTAGAGCCTTTATGTTATGCCTACGGAAAGCAAACGATAATAGTGGTGGGGGAGGGGGTTGTAGCCGGCGATTGTGTGCCTCTTGCTTGACTCTGCTTATAGCTCAAGTTCTCGGCGACTGCTTTAAGAGACAAATCACAGTCTTCTTATGTGTACGCTGTACCTAGTTTCTGTTTGATAACGGTGATAGCAAGAAAAAGATGAAATACCTTGACTTTTACAGCTCGCGCAGAACTCAAAGCAATGACAATGAGAAAAAGTCCAGCCCAGTGCATTCTTATCTTCTGAAAAGACAAGGTAAGAAGTAATTGTGCGTACATTTTGTAGAGAAACCGTTGTCTGAAGCTCTCAGATCGTTTGGTAAGCAAGCTATGGTACGGCGATAAGTGAGCCCTCGTACGGCCGTGCTATGCTGAAAATAAACTTCAGCATTTGTGGAGAGGCATGAGTTTATTAGTATTAAGTGAACATGTTTGCTACATCATTTTCACAAAAGCTCATGTAAATGGCTGTCGCTCATTTCATTTTGATGGTTCACAGAAAAACTGGTAGAAACCTGCTATCCTTGTGCCAGAGATCCTTGTTTCTTGATGCAACTTGTGTAGATACAAAAACTCGTAGCGAAGTTATCGCTCATAATGTTTGTACAAAGAAAGCCCATTTGTGAAGCAAATCTTTACTCTCGTTTTTGCAGCTTGCACCAACCTTAAATTTGGGCCTAGAGCAAAAAAGCTATGCTAAATCCGTATACAGCCTAGAGCAAAAAAGCTATGCTAAATCCGTATACAGGATTTCTAAGTTTTCTGATTACCAAGTTCCAGAAGGGTATGAATTGTTCAGACCAGTGGAGCAAAAACTCACCTTTTCGCAAAATCCAAAATCTTCTATCACCTTACACATGGTTTAGATTTACAACAAACATGTTTTTCATACCTAGCAATCCACCCTCCAGCTGACATCAATGAAAAAAAATTTGTGTTGGCGCACAACAACTCAAAATCGAGAAGCGGGATGATTACAGCATTTACCTTTACATGTTCTCAGTTCTACTAGGTTCCAGCTCTAGACTGGGATGAAGGAGGGTAAATTGGTATGGGCTTTTGAACTGATAATGTAGTACTTATGTTAATTTAGTTGATTTTTAGTTGATTTAGGGCGCGGGAAAACTGCATCGAAAATACTTAAATGTTAATCTTCCAAAGTAATCACTGATGTCGTGAATGGCTGTTCAAGTCAACGTCATTGCTAATACTTTGATTTTTGAATGACACGGACATCAACTCCCAATCACATCACACCCCTCTCTTCCTATACCTGCCGAGAAGCATAGCTCTTCATGTAGCTGGCTTTTTTACTTCGTCTTTATTTCTGGCTTTAAAATGCCTCCTAATTAGCGCCTGTGTGAGAAAGCAAGCAAAATATAAGTTCTCTATCGAGGTAGAAATGGTTTCGATTTCGCCGTTTTCTAAGCATCAGCAGAGGTTCAACGCTGATTTGTTTGCCTTGCGTACGAGTGAAAGTTTTTTTTTACTGGGACAAGCATGTTTTGCCCTTTCGCCTTTTTTCCCTTGATTCAAAGAAGTCTGAAGATTTAAGACGATAAGTGTGCTCTTTCCTTGTTTATCTCAATATGTGATTTTATATTTCCTGTGTCCAGTTTTGTGACATCTAACGTTGCTAATTTTTTGCTTCTCTTTATCTCTAGCTCACAAGAAGAGGTTTGAAAATCCATCTTTTAAGGAAGACTGTGCTCATTCAGAGTAGCAAGTTTTTGAAGTGTGTGAGATTACACAGTTTTGAAAACAAGAAATACTTACATAGGTAAAGTATAATTATACTCATTGAAAACCCTCAGCTCCATTGTCTTTTTGAATGTCATAAAGCAAAAGATGTTGTCATATCTCAGGAGAAGACTACAATACCCGTTTTCTTTTTTCCGCTGCAAATAAAATACTTACTCAGAGAGTTCACTGGAATTTCCACATTACATGCAAAATTGCAGAGGTTTTACAGGATTTTGTCTACTATCACAAAAGTAGAACCGTTGAGAAGAGAAACTTTCGCAGGATCTTCGCGTTAGACTGGATGAAAACGGAAATGCCCAGGACTTTCAACAAAAAGCTGTGGAAATTTCGAAAGATGCTATTTCGCAGGTTTTTCAACTCTCTTACAATGTTGTCTTGCCAACAACTAGAGTCATTGTCGAACATGTCATAGTGAGTGCAGAGAATATTGGGTGAGTCTTGAATTCAATAAAGTAAATTTCGATTGGCTTAGTTGTTCTCTTTTGCTGATGTGATTTATTTCTTCGGAACATCCATAGGTGACCCTGCTAAACTTTCCTAAACGTTCTGCGGAAGTTCCGGTCAGTTGTCTGGGTAGTTTGGCAGTAATCTGGTCGAAACTTTGAGTTCAAAGCTTCTAACTCAGAAGTCAATCCGAGTGCTCTTTATTGAAATAAGTTTGCTTTGTGAACTCCAAATAGCAGTTCTAAATTTGATTTTCTGTTTGTTTGGGCCTCCTGCGACAGTTCTCAAATGAGCTGCCGTTGCCATTGAGTGGGCGGAGGTGGAGTTTTGAAGCGCATTTTTCAGGACTTAGCTCATGAATTGGCAGGAGGAGGAGGAGGTTTGGGTTGCAGTGTGCTTGGGGTCTACCACCTAACATCACAATCCAAAAAGGGTCCATTTTGCTGGACTATTTGAGAAAGTGTTATGCATGTTATTTCAGCGACCAAGATGTGATTCGGACCTATTTGGTTGCGATGCGCCGACCATCAGTTAGGTTAAGAGGCACTTGTTAAGTTTTTGTCGCGTTGCTCTCAAATGCATTCGCTACACTGACAGCAATCATCACAACATGTCAAACAAAGCCACCAAAGGCATATCTCATCTAAACTTATCCTAAAACGTTTCTTCTTTGGCGAAAGTTGAAAACAACTAAGCAGGCAGGACATGGTTCAGACGCGTGTTTGGAAACTTACCGAAACTTTATTAAGACGCATGTCGCTTAACATTGTTTGCTAACTTCGTCTGATAACTATATCCAAAACACTCAGGTGTTGCAGTTTTTGTGCAAATTGTTCAATTTTGGAGCAGCACAGTTTATGAAAGTTACTTCGTTTTTTGTTTTACAAACCGATTGCTTCTACACCAGCAAGCACTATATAGATGAAGTCGTGGCGAATTCCATCGATATTCGAGGGTATCCAAACAATTTCTTTTTATTTCATTGCTCAACTTTTGCACATTAGTTGCTCCTTATGTCATCCATTTTATAGACTGCCTTCGATAGAAGTGATGTAGTACAGCAAAGGATCTTCTTTTTTCAGGTGATGTATCTTGGCTCAAGTCTGCTAACATTCATGTATCTATTTTCAAAATATCACTGACTCGTTCATTGTGAACATTAGTTTGGTCGGTTGTTCGTGTTCCTGTTGAAGGATAAATTCGTTTCTGTTTTTTCTCGATTCTGTCCTTGAAGCACATGTAAAAGCTTAGAGATGAATTTGGTAAAAGGTTTAAAATGGTCAAAGGAGACTTCATGAACTTTTGGACGATTCAAGCGGACTTTGTTGAGAAGCAACGTCTGCTGGGTCCTGCTTTACATTTTCCAATGACAACCGTTATAGTACATAGTGTGCAACTTTATTGTTATCTTAGGTACCTCTTGGTAAGCATTACATCATATTTGCCAACAGATATATCTGAATTTGAGGTGAGGGGTGGCTGTAAGCAATAAGACAGTCTTATCTGTTTGCCTGTATATAACATAAAATATATAAGGTTCAGAAAGTTTTGTCAATCAAAGTTGGACTACTTTGTCCTTTCTGCAAATCATCGAGGATGGCTGTCCAACGATGTCTTAGCATTGACAATTTAAACTGTAGTTTGGGTATATCATGAATGACCTCGCTGAATGAAAAATATAGGAGTTTTTACCAATTCTAGACTTGCAAGTGTAATAATTTCGGAGCGTTTCAGCTAGTTCAAGTTGTAAGCATTAGCAAGTCTTTTGATAAACTTTGAGACGAGAAAAAGGTATTTATTACAGTGTAAATTAGTGTTATTCGAAGCAAGAACTTGAGCTCTACTGGCGCATGACGTAGACTTATTTTAGACTGATTTGCGCTAAAGAATTCGGATTGTGAAATGGAAGAGTTTGAATTCGCATAATGCTGCGACAGTCAAAGCTTGCTTTTCACAAAGGACAGAATCCTTTGTCGATCGAATACTATGAATTTCAGAAATGACAGGCAACGATGGAATTAGGTCTTGCAACTGACAACAATGTGGCACAATGATACTCTACTTTCTATGTAATTGTGCAAAGTCAGAAGCGTCCAGTTATTCGATTATTTGAATAGTCGATTAGATGAAAAAGGTCATTATTCGATTAATTCGTTCATTTGAAGACCAAAAAAATTATTCGAGTATTCGAATATTCGAGATATTTTGAAAGACGTTCTTCGAGCAGGGGGGGGGGGGGGGTAAGCGAACATGCTTTACGAATACAATTAGTTTTTAGAACTATCAGTTATTTTTATCATTTTGTCGATTTTTTTTCAAAGTTCAAGCTATAGGGCTGGGAGTTGGCACGGGGGGGGGGTAATCGAGTATGCTGATTACGAATATGATAACCATTTTAAAAAATGCCCATTACTTTCATCATTTTATCGATTTTTTTGCAAATTTTGAACTACGGGGCTGGGAGTTGGCACAGGGAAGTAAGCGAACATGCTGATTACGAATACAGTATTAGTTTTTGAAATTGTCAGTTATTTTTATCATTTTATCGATTTTTTGCAAAGTTCGAGCTACGGCGCTGAAAGTTGGCAAAGGGGGGTAATCGAGTATGCTGATTACGAATACAATATTAGTTTTTAGTATTATCAACTACTTTTATCGATTTTTTGCAAAGTTCGAGCTACGGCGCTGAGAGTTTGCAAGGGGGGTAAGCGAACATGCTGATTACGAATATGATAACCATTTTTCTGGATCTCTTTCCGCAAAGTCTTTTGATTTCTTTCAGGAATAATTTGGTAGAGGTGGCTTCAATTCAGATTTACAGTTCAAAGCCAATCACTGCTCTTCATTCCGGTTGGATTACGATAGAAACCTTGAAGAGAGTTTTGGGTTATTGGGAGCTATACATTCAAAACTTACACTAAACTAGTTAGAGTCACTAAATCTGAAGATAAAATCTGCACATTATCATAAAAGTTAGTCTTGAAGTTATGCCAAATTTGACACGATCATTGTTTTTTCTAAGCTCTTTGAACTTGTGATTACACCTTTTGAAAAGCTTTAGAGATTTGTAAAATGTTAAGTAGTGAAGTCAGCATGTGTGAAAACCCTGGTATACTTAGGTTCTCAGAATTTAGTTTGAAAGGCAACAAATTCACGATGACGCAAACAACTGAAAGTTTCTACCATAATCTTACAAAACGAAGAGCGACTGGTAATTCGCTTTGTAATATGAATCTCAACCGAAGCGAGCTGTACAAACTGAGACCTGAAGGTGCAAAACACTTTTTGGGAAGAGAGATATGAACCTTAAAAAGTATATACGTACTTTTGGAACACCTTGTATAGAACAATGATTCGTCGAGTCGATACTAACTTAATTTTTCTGTTTTTTACTGCTGATACAAATTCAAAGCACTAAGCGCAGTGCGCTAAGGTAGAATTTATTAAGCAAGATGAAATTTCATAATCTGAACCAAACCGGCAACCGTATACGAATTTATAGACGATTTGGACACTGCAGTCTTTTCGTAACTCAGCGTGGAGTGTAATGGGAGTGGAATCCAAATGGAATTCTTGATTGTGGAATAAGGAATCGGCCTATCCCTTCCAGTGTTTCGGCATCGATTATGGCGACATAGGGGGTATCCTTTTCGATTGTGGTCATCACAGGAACAAGCAGTACACCTTAAAAGAAGCATTAATTATTGGAAATCGAAGTACTCTAACAAACCATCATCTTCTTTCTCAAAGTCTGGCTTGCTGACTAGAATTGGTTCAGCACATATTTGGGAATCATTGTCCATAGACCACACTTTGCTTGTTCCATCCTTCAGATCGACTTTGATTATCTAAATCACTGGACTCACTCATAGAAAGAATCCAGTCCAAAATTAAAGACTGTTGAGATTTCAAATCACTTTGTCACTGTAAAAGCGACATTTTATACCCAAACATTTTACTAGGCTGTTGCATAAGTTCTGTCCGATTTTTTTGCCTCATGTTTGAAGCAGCTGTTCTAAGAGAATTTCATCTCTAATTCGATACGGTTGGTATCATTGAAAAGTGCTTTCCTTGCGCTTTCTAAAGCATACCAGAATTCAATAAAATTCTTAGTGTACGGAGATCACAGGCCTAAAATCTCTAAGTGGCCGAGGTACGTTCTATCCCTAGAAATATGTCCTTGCGAGGATATCTCCACAATGCGCCCTTCAAGTCAGGTTCTTTCATTGGCTTCGGAATAAGGGTATGGAATGCTAGTATATGCAGAAGTTCGGTCCCATGAAGAATACGTCTTGCTAGTGAAATTTATCCTCGAACATAAATCTTTGGTATAGATGTTTTACAAGCAATAACTTTCTGCGAATAGAAGTAATCGACAAGCTCAAAGTTGGAGGTGCTAGGGCAAAGCAAGTGCTAACAGGGCCCATCCACCAATTCCTTTTCGGCGCTCACGTCAGTTGTAAAACGTTCGTAGTTCATAAATAGGCATGCACACATGTGCTGAAGCGAGGTCAAAAAGTGGCTAATTTTTTGTTCGGTCAAAAAAATCTCTCGGCAGCGCAAACCCTATGGGCTCTTTTATGTTGCATAATAATCTACGAAAATTTCTATATCCATCCATTATTAGAAAAGATGCCTATCAATTTTCATAAGGGAGCGTTACCATGTCAAAAAAGACAGATTCGAAGAAAAACGCTGCGAAGTTTTTGCATTCTTGGTTCTTCCTTAACAAAGATTTGCGCAGATCTCAATATGCATTTTTTAGCCAAGGGACTGCTCAACACATAGAAACTAAGACCTTGGAAAAAAGTTGACTCTGAAAGAAGTTATGACATTTTAAACTCAAAAATTCAAATCGGACAGAACTTATGCAACAGCCTAGTATATACTCTGAAGAACTTTTGCGGCATTGATACAACTAAAAAACGACTTTCACCTCAAAAGGTTCTAGTAGGTATAAAGGAAATCGTATCCAAAAAATGCGACCGAAACTAAGCGGAGTGTGAAATAGATTATGCAGATGTTGTTAGATTTACAGAAAATCAACGCAAAGTTTTTTTTTTCTATCGGCGGTATCTCTGCTTTCGAGGCTGCTCTATAGTTGCTTATGCCAGCGCCATGCTAACAGCCCCACGTAGACGCTCTCCGTGATCGTTCGACGGTGCTGACACGGCTCTGGCACGGCACATGGGTAACTATGACACAGCCGCGTTGTCCAAAATGGAAAGGAGAACTGTTAGAGCCCACGCACAGGTCCACTTCTCTACTACTCTCATTCCTTTTCCTTCCTTCTCTCTTTCACCTTTTTCATAATAAAATAGAACATACTCCATCTGTCGAATTGCCACTGAATACGTTGGCGCCATAAACGTAACGATAGTCCTTCATGTTGAGAACGTAGTTATAGCGCGGGAAGTCGAACGCTGAAAAGATACATCAGTAGAATAAAACCCACGTTGACGCTATTGAAAGAACATATATCATCAACAGTCTTCTCCTTCAAACTGTCAGAAACTCATTATTAAACACTGTAAGCTGCCCTAAATGCTATACTTTACGAGTTTTAGAGTAGAAGATATCATGTTGGTGAAAGGGGATGTCGCCGGCCGTCTACTATGAAAGGTGCAAATCTTTGAATTATACCCTGTACCAGTAGTCCGCCCGGAACATCTTATTTCCGGCAATTGTTCCCTGCCCAAATTTCTACTCTTCACATGCACAAAACTTACAATATTCGCTCATTTTCACATCCGTGCAATGAATGCTCCCGTCCATTCGCAGTACTGCTTTACATCCATTGGCGAAAGAGCAAGACGATAGCAGATCTTCATCAGGTTTGCGGTTATCGCTTACAGTCAAGGGAATGATCATTCTATGCAGATATGGAGCAAGATTTGGGTTCTGCAACAAAACCATTCCATAAAAATCTTGATAAGCAAAGTGGCGTTACGTTACCCTAGTTTTGTATGTTCCATCACGCATGTGTTCAAGTAGAAAATCGTCAAAATTGCCAGGGTTGAGAATTTTACAGTAATCTACCACTAGATATCCATCTTTCTCATAAGCATTCGCATGGTGGAAGGTAAAGAATGCATCCGAGGTGATCTGCAATATAATAGAAAAAAATCAAACATAGAAGAGCGGCGGAGGGGGGGGGGGGGGGGGGGGGGAGTCACCTTTTGCTCAATCTTTGTGCGTTTGATCCTATCGAAAATAATAACATTCACACTTTTGGCTTTTCCGTCCCAGTACATGCATTCGTTGATGCATTTCTGCGGTTCTCCTCTGCAAAAGAAACATTAAATACGGTAAAGGTATTTTTGGTTTTGAAAATAAAAACCTACTCCTCCTTCTGTGCCTTCTTCATTATATCAATTCTCTCAGGAGATTCGAAAAGTATGAAGTAATTTTCCGTTACTCCAAATGAGTGGTAGTAAGCTGGAGCCAGAGCATCCGTAGCTGGGACCATACCTAGCAGCTCTGTATATTCCAAGCTGTACGGACTTTTCGCTCCTAATTTTTATTCTGTCAATTAGGTTCGGAAATGTCATTCAATTTTCCCTACCTTCGATCTTCAACGGATTTTTTGTCTTCGCAAATATGTAGTTCGACTTGGATCCAAATTGGCTTCCGATGTTAAGAATGTTTCCTTCAGGATCAGTGTGGCTATGAGCCGTGAAGGTATGGAGGACGATTTTCAAATGGTCACGAATGTCAACCTAAACATTGGAAACTCCCACAAAGCGAAATTTACATTCCTTTCCATAAAAAAAAGCTTTCCAAGAAATACTCATCTTTAGCCTTTTCGATAAAACTATATCTTAGTTGAAAATCGACTGAGACGAGATTCTTTCCACTTACTATCAATGGTTGCTCTGTCACCCGTTAAGAACTGTCTAGAGAACGAAAAAAAAAGAAAATCAATATCACTGGTAAGGACACTGTGAAGGAAGTTATTCTACACTTCAGCAGACTACGTATTCGGCAATATTTGTCCTCATATCTACATCAAATAAACCGTAGCCCTGCCATAACATGATGATCTGCAGCAAAATGTTCCCTGTTAAGTCGTAATTTTGCTATATTGGTTTTTTTTTTTCAGGCCAAAAATTCACGTCCAGTAGTCCTTAAAGTTTTCAATTTACTGAGCAGATGACTAGGAAAAATCATGCTTAAAAGTTTACAACATTTTTAGCGGCTGACACTTGAGTTGTGTTTGTGCTTGGCAATTGCAGAGTTTGGCAAAGCACGAGCAAGTCAAACATTCCAGGAAGAGGTTCTCAACAAAGTCAAACAGTTTGAATTTATTCCGGAGAGGATTAGGATTTCGTGTCTTCTTACTTTGTCTTTATAATCAAGCGAATCAATGTCAATCCTGGCTAAATAAGGAGTTTCTGTTAAGGCGTAGACAGCATCACCAACTGTTGTGAAAGCAACAACACAGTTGTCTCGTATCTCTTCTTCAGTTGAAAATGTGCTAGCCAATCTGAAAAACTTCAGCATGCCTACTTTTTGATTCAACTGGTTTGACGGCTGGAAGGCGGGGCTTCGTGACCGAATCAAGACTATGTAATGATCAGGGAGCACATGGGAGGGAGAGACGCAGACTGGGTAGCGGGCGCGAGAGGCCTTAATTAGGTCACAAAGCCCCGCCTTCCAGCCGCGAAGCCAGTTCAATAAAAGGTTACGTAGTTTGAAGGTCTACCAAAACTTACTCTCCATAGACCTTCTTGCAAGGATCAATGAAAGATCTTGTGCCAAAAGCCGTACCTACCAATCGCTGTGCAGCCATGCACGCCTTTATGACTCACTTTCTAGATAGCGAGCCGAATAGAACATCTGAATTTTCAGATTTTAGACGAAATATGAAAAAAGTCTGAAATATGAAGAAAGTGGTAGATATGCTGACTTTGCCATTAGAGAAGTGATATCTCTGAATGTAAGCCAATCCATCGAACCAATGCTTGTATTCAGTTCCGCCAAGCTTGAACATTCCGGGTCCATTTCGAAGCATTGTACCGCTGAGCCATGATGGAACACTTCCTACATTAGAATAAGACCAGCTGACTCGTTAGCATAGGAAATGTATGCTTCAAAGAGAAATTCTACTAGCCAAGTACTTGTTTTGGAAGAGAAAATCATATGGAAAATCTTTCAAGTTGTGACTTCAGTGAGGACTCGTAAATCTTTACGAGAGCACATTCGATTCTTAATCGATGGTCCTATTTGGTGCGTTAGTAAGCCAAGGGGTGACACAACAAACTCGTATAATTTTGACTTTACTGTCTTCACTATTTGTGGCGCTAGAGCGTATACTTTGATATGTTCTTTCTGTTGTCATGAATAAATCTAGGTGTAAACAAACATTTCTAAATTGCTGGGCGAGGTGCGGTGTGCGAATGCGATTCAAAGTCAAAGGTCAAGTGGTTTAATTCCTCATAAGAATTACTTTTTGGAACAAACCAACTTCAGGATTCTCTGAAGAAGCTCACAAGGAAGGCCCTTTTGGTCGATAGACTTTTTATGTGACTCCTTTACCACTTATGAAAGATGGTTTCAAATCTGTCTTAATTATATCTGCCAAGCGCTTCTGGATGCAGAGAAATGAGCGATTTGGGGTTGAATTGAATGCGCAACTTGATCAAAACTCCTAAATTGCTCAAATGATCCAGTGTGACTATCAGAGCACTTCATTCGATGGTCTCATCTGTTTATACAATCATACTTACAAAGGAATGGTCAGAAGTCGAAGTGGCCAAACCAAACAAGCTGCATACCATTTGATGCAGCATAAAATGCTGATTTCAAATCTGTCTTCTATATCTGCAGAGCGCCTTTGTAGGCGAAGTTATGAGCAGTTTTAGTGCGAAAAAACCGTATACAAAAATTGCAAAATTAGGCACATTATTGCTCTTTCAGCTCAACTCTAGGTACAGGTCATATGATGTGACCTAGTTGCATGTTTTGTTCCAACACTGAGTCAAGAATGGCTTTGTACGTCCAAGTTTGCACTTAACACGCACAATTTCTTAGCAAAATAATGGCCTTCAACGGCTTATAATTTCGTCCACAAAAGCGCTCTGCAGATAAGGAAGGCAGATTTAGAGTCAGCGTTTTATGCTACATCTAATGGTATGCAGCTTGTATAAATTGGCCACTTCGACTTCTGACCATTCCCTTGTTAGCACTGCTCTACCTGAGCGCTGAAAAGATCGTAATGCTTGGTTTTATCTAGATTCTGCGTTTATTTTTTGCTCTTAAAAACACTCATAAGTCGGCGTACAGAGGCGCTTAGCAGTTAAGGAAGAAAGATTTGGAATTAACGTTCGATGCTCTTTAAAGCAGTATAGGATTCATTCAAAAAGGCCACTCTTCGACTAAAAGGACCTCCCTTGTAAGCTTCCTTAGAATAGTGTGGAGTTGGTATGTTCCAAAATCTGAAACAAATCTGGCCCAGCTGGCCTTTGACTTTGAATCGCACACTCACACTGCATTTCGCCAGTATTTTGGAAATGTTCATTACACCTGAATTTTTTTCATGGTAATTGAAATTATATCAAAGTATATGCTTTAGCGCCATAGGACCAACTACCCGTGGCCAATTCTCTTTGGAAGATATTGACAAGCTAATTGATCTTGAATTCTTGAATTTGATCATTCAAATTTCAAATTCTTGATCTCTCAAGAATTCAAAATGTGGGTCATCAAATGGAGCAATAGTCTCAACAACAAAATATTCACCAAATATTTGGCTTTCATATAATGTTCATCACTTTCATATGCTGCTAATTGAGCTTACCAATCAGTTCGCATTCTCTTGGCTCGTTGACATTCTCGAAATTCTCAAATAGCTGCTCATAACCCATTCTGGATGTATTGCTATCACAACAAATCTGAAAGAAAACCATTCGATAGTGCTCTTGAGCATTGCTTAGTGGCTTTGTTCTAGATATATAATTTAAGTAAAGGATGATAGAAAAGAAAACTTCGGTTTGACGCATCATTTTCTATAATTTCACAATCCATAAAGTCTTTGAGATCTCAGTAAAAATAAAATCGAATAAAATTTCCCAATATTTTTTCTTATGAGCATCACATTATCGAATTTCATTGAAAGAAAACATATGGCTTGATTAATTTGTAGCACAATGGAGATAAAGTCCTAATGAGAAAACCATAAAAATAATGAGATGGTGCATCTACAATCAAGAGAGAAAAATGTTATATAGAAATTATCGGATAACCTAAGACGACACTTGCTATTGAATGATAGGATAACACAAGATATCATTCCAAAATTTTTGGAACCGTTATTGAGTGAAAAACGCTAATTATGGTTTCTAAGCATGGATTTGATTCTTGATCTTGCAAGACAAAGAAATAGAATGACTGAGCAACTCACACTTTTTCCGGTGTGATTTACTGTAAAATGTGAATAAGTAGTTTCGGTATAAAGTAGAAAAAGGTTACCTGTCACAGTCTGTGCTAAAGCGTAGTCTGTTTCAAGGTAAGACCGGTGTAGTGATAAGAATTTGCCACTGGAAAAGGCGCAATAACCCTTGATAGTTGGGAGAAGAACGTGATAGCGGCAAGTTCTTTGTTGAACAGCGGTACTTCTATTTACCAGCAGTGGTTTTCAATAATTATGAGAATTGTGAGTTGTATAAAGCAAAATGAGAAAGCTGAATTAACTACATTTTGACTTTTTATAAGGTCCCTTATTTTTGATGACATTGCGTTAGTTACTTCTACGGTATAACTCAATCCATGTTATTCAGTTAAAAGAAAAAGCGCTCTAGTAGTGCTGATTTCAATTTGTTGCTGAAAATCATACCATGCTGTTTTTTCACCGTCAAATTACTTCAACCTTGGCTTTTAGTAACATGGGTAAGAAGCTGACAATGAGAGATACCGCTAAAAATTGATGCAAAGATTTGGTGATATCAGTTTCATAAAAATTAGTTTTATGATTGTCAAAATAGCACAAATAAAGTGATTTTACGAAATGGAAGAGAAGAAGCGAGTTACGGGAGGTAAGCTGTCGGTATGCCGAAACAAATCGTATTTGTTCTACTGATCTGGTATGTTTGATCTAGACTTACGGAAGAACGCTTTCATTTTGATTTTGGATGATCGAGATGAGCATTTACTATGCTATCAATAGACATATTAGGTTGGTCCGAAGGTTTTGTCAGTTTTTTAACATGGTCCGCAAATCCCGTACACTAAAGCTAAACAAACACTTCAAGTTCTGTCTGATGCAGAATTCCTCCCCCTTCCTAGTTATGTCCCACTGTAACTCGTTGAAGGGATACCGAGAAAATCGCTGAAAAATACAACTTTTTGCTTTCACCATTTCCAAATTTTCGCTCATTTTTAAAAATTTCATTTGAGACTTTTGGGGAAGCTTTGATAGCTAGCAGATAGGGCAAACCTTCTGCCAAATGAAGCAAATTTTTGTAGCTGTCTTTGTTTAGCCTTACTATGGGATTTGCCTGACAAAACTTTCAGACCGACCTTATATTTATAATAATTCTTTTGTAAGAAAACAAGCTGCAGTAGATCATAAAAGTGCCATCATTTTCAAGTGGGGGACGTTGAAGTTTCAAAAAACTACTCGATGACTCTCTGAAGGCTGAGACCAATTCACAAGGCGATTTTGGGAGCCGGTGTAGTTAATACTCGAAGAGCTTGAAGAAAGATATGTGCACAAGCGAGTTTCACAAAGTGAAACAAATGCTCTAAGTAGATCTTTCAAAAGAGTTTTACATTAATTGCTACTAGTATTATGTGTAAAATTTCAACAAAAATAAAAAAAAACTTGAGTCGGCTTGCAGCGTGGTACCGTTGGCCATCGCTTTCCTCGGGCAGATTATGATTACATGAATAATTTTCCATGCGGCTCCCCGGCCAAATTACAAAAGATCGTTCGTTAAAAAAATTCCGAGTGTATCTGAGTGAAGTTCTCCATAAATGCTCTCAGGATTTTTCAACACATTCAATGAGAGATAAATAAGTAAACGAAACCAATGCTTATTGCCTTTCTCTGCGGCAGAAGCGAAGTTCCGAAGTAAAAGCTTTTACAACAGTCTCTTAGATGGATCATGGAACATGAAGACTCTGAATGAAAATATTCTTGTGAAAGCATCAAACTAAAATCAAACCTCGAAGTAAATTCTCGCAATATTGCAAGCGAATTCAGCGACTAGCAGATGCACTGATATTTTAACAAAAAGATAAAGTAGAAACTTTCATTGCTCAACCTACTTCTCCCTTTGAGAACGTGGAGTTACTTTCAATCAAGAAAGATTGGTTCTCTGATAATATACATGTACTACGACATAGTCAAAACCCGGAAAATTCGGAGGGTGGTGAGTCTCTCTAGATGAGGTTTTACTTCGCGAACTTTAAATTTACCCCCTTTGAGACAAGAGTTGATGGAATGCTCAGATCTTCGCTGAAAAAAATCAAATGTTTTAGCACTTTACCTTCTGAAGAGATCTTTGAAGAATTTTATTGAGATGTGTGCGCAGCCTAAATGATCTTTCCAGATCCACCTCTCCCCTTCGAGACCGAAATGCATGGAATGTTCAGTTCTGTTGCGTAACCAGATTTACGAATTTTGCTGGAATGTGTGGGCAGGCTTATTGAACTCCCCAAATCTACCCCTCTCCCTGCGAGACCAAAGTTAATGGAATGCTTAGCCTTGAAGCGAATTTTTCAGAAATTTGCATGAGAAAGCAACTCTTTATAATCCTGCTGAAATTTATGCAGAAAAGGATGATGACCCTTTTCGAATAAGGTTCTACTTTGTGAATGTCGAATTACCCCACTCGAGACCAAAGATGATGAAATGCTCAGTTTTCGTTTCAGCAAATTTTCAGCACTTTACCTTCAAAGGTAGATCTTTGATGAATTTTGTTATGATGTGTGGGCAGGCTGACTGATCTCCCCAAATCTACCCCCTCTCCCCTCGAGATCAAAACTGATATGCTCAGTTTTCGTTAAAGCGTATTTTCCAGCAAACATGCATGAGAAAATAACTTTTGATAATCTTGTTAGAATTTATGTAGAAATGATGAGCCTTTCCGAATAAGGTTTCACTTTCGCGATGTCAAAATTTACCCACATCGAGACCGAACATGGTGGAATGCTTGGTTTACGCCAAAAACAATGCGATTTTGAAGCAGTTTACCTTCGAAAGGCAGATTTGTGATGAATTTTGTTGAGATGTGCGCGCACGATGGTTGCTCTTTCCCAGATCTATACCCCCCCCCCCCCTTCGAGACCTTAGGGTTGGGCCAGACTGCGCGGCATACGCGACGTACGGAGCGTACGCCGCGTATTCTCCTATGATGAAGTATACCAAGCGTACGCTGCGTACGCCGCTTCCCCGCGAAGTCTGGCTCAACCCTTAAAGCCAGCGGCTGAGCAGATTTTCAACTTCGAGGTTTTGGCAGATTTGGGGCTATTCCGGCCTCCTAAATCACGACATGAACTCCCGTCAGCGCGAAAATGGGGAAAACCCCGTCTTTTTAAACCTCCCTTGAGACGGGAGCGAAGAGTGAGCCGTTTTTTTCTGCCGTCAGAGTCGCAGAGTAAGGAGGTGGAGAGCGCTAGAACAATTCTGCCCTACGAAGCTACTAGTGACGGCGCGTTTTTTAGCGGAGAACAAACTCGCCCAAACAAGGTGTTGGAGGAGCGAAAGGAGGAAGGGGAGCGGTGGGGTGGTTGGGTTGCCCCCCTGGTATGCAGAGTTCACATTTTCAGTGCGGAGTTGCTGTTTGGTTCACTTGAAGGCCTCTTATCCATCTGTGTCAAAATCTGAGGTAGGTTCATTCTGCCGAGACGCTGTCTTTAATTCGTGAAATGTTGAGTTTTTTCGTTAAACAACCAAAATTTTCCGCAAGCTTCGAGAAAGTTTTACATAGTTTTTCTAAAACTTGTGAATGAAAGGAATATGAACTTCCCGGAAAAAGGCTAAATAGGCGATATGTCTAGAGTGAGGAAGGCAGGAAGCCGTTACGTGATATCAAAACTTTAAGCTCGTTTTCCAAGTGAAACTCAACGAAAGAGAGAACGATTGCAGGAATGATTCCGTTCACAACCATTTCAGCTACCATAGCACGTGGCTATTTCAACGCATAGCATGTGCAACAACAAAATCGATAGTAGCCGATAGGTAATCGATAATTTTGAAATCTAATGTTTTTGTGATCAGCATGCACACGTAACCCCTGTGCCAATTCTTACAAGGGAATGAAACTTGGTGACCGTGGCCTTTTGCACAAAATGTATGCCAGTAGATCCTTGAAACGCTGATTCCAGACCTATGTTACTATCTGCTGTGCGACTCTTTGAACGAAAGGACTTTTTTCCATATTGATTTTGCGAGATCTAGGCAGTCAAAATCGTCAGTATTCAGACTTTTTAGACTCTGATGATTCGGAGACAGTTTTTCAAAGCTTGACGTACAAACTTTACTTTATGTGGACGCTTCTTACACTTCCTAAGCGAACATTCTAACAATATTGGTGAATCCTGCATCAAAAATAGTGCAAATTCTGGTGGCAAGAAATGTTCATAACTTCTTTCGGAAGAGTGCACAGCAGGTACCGAAAGCAGACTTGGAATTCCTTCAAGTTACATTTAATGGTGTACGTCATTTTAAAAGGCCACGGTCATTAAGTATCCTTCCCTTGTTAGCCGCTTAGCTCAAGGTGAAAAATATCCGCTCCGCTACGGGATCCATAGTGCAAACAACTCCCTCGCCGACGTAATGGCTACTGGCCTCTCCTCTCGTCATCACTGAGCGCCATTATATTTTCGCATTCTTTCTGGAATATTCAGCATCTGGACCTTTCTTCATGCGTGGGGTTAAGGATAGGAGGGACTCAAAAAACTCTGCGTTAGCGCTTGGAAGGATCCAGTGTATATTGTGGTAAGGATGTATATTATAGTAAGGATATGCAAATTAACATATTTTCAACATACACTTATCGTAACTATATAAGGTACTACGCATGCAACAAATAAATATAGTTTCTGTAATAAGCACATCAACAAACCTCCATGCAATTTCCAAGAGGATTGTGTGATCAACATTCTACCGTATACCTATTTTACAGTGGCGTACCCAGGATTTCCGTTCGGGGGGAGGGGGGGGGGGGCAGAAAAAATTTTCTGATGAAGATGTGTGGCATTAGCCACGTACTCCGGAATAATTTTTGGTATGCTTTCTGAAATTCTCACAAGCCCATAGCTCTCACCACACCCCCCCCCCTCCCCTCAAAAATTTTTCTATGAGGCTAAATTGAATTTCTGAAAATTTCAAGAATTATTTTTACTATTAGGTTGGTGCAAAAGTTTTGTCAGTTTTTTCAATCCATCGGCAAACGCGCTAGAATGAGGATAAGTTAACAACTCGAAGTGTGTCCGATACAGAATTTCTTCCCCTTCCCAGCTGCTAAACTCCCATTGTGTTTCGTTGAGAGAGTGACGAGATAATTGCTGGAAATTACAACCACTCATTCTTACCTTGTCCAACTTTCGCTAATTTTCAAAATTTTTGTATGGGACCTTCGGAGGAGCTCTGATAACAGGAGATAGGGCAAACCTCTTGCCAACAGAAGCAATTCTTTGTAGCCCTCCGGCTTGTCTTTCAGAATTTCTACGATTTAATTTTTAAAGTGACCAAATTTCACATTCAGCCTATTTTAACATCGTAAAACATAAAATGTCAAACACTTCAGTCATTCGATGCAACTTTTCATCCTTCTAACACTTGTCTTTTTTTGCCGAAACAGGCGAAATTTGTGGGGAAAATCGCAGTATTTCTCAATTCTAGGAGTGCGCACTGACGTAACCTACGTTACAAAACCTTCATAATTTGAAGCGAAAATCGTTCATTCAACTTTGTAATGGTAGCGGTAGTAATAACCGAGTGTTGAAATCTCAGAATTCTGTAGGTTTTGCAGTGTTTGGCGCAATAAAAGATTATGCGATTCTTCTAAAACACAAGATTAATGTCGCTTTTTTCAAGTGAACGCTACATTTCGTGGAAGCAAGGTTTCTAGGAGATTTTGGTAGCATTCGATGCATCATTTCATCCTCTTTCTAATGGCTATAATATCACTACAGGATACTCAGTGGGTTTTTCAAAAATTACTAAAATTTCCAACCCATGCTTTTTGGGAAGGTCATGTTTCACAATTTTTCTAACCTTTTGTAATAACCCCGGAAGAAGTCCAAGTAATGGATGGATAGAGCAAACCTCATAGTAACGGTACCATTTTTTCTGCTTTCCAGAGCCTGTCACAATTTTTGTACAGATTTTTTGATGGAACCACCGAATTTTAGCAGACTCGTCTGAACCAAATGCATCAAACACCAAGAAATCTTCGGATTTTGAAACTTACAAAGATGGATTATGGTTTTACACTAATTTTACAAAGCAAATGAGCATTTGCCGCTTTAGATTAGCCACTTTCGAAAACTCCGTGTACAGCGTGGGGCGCCTTGGAAAACCTGAATTATGATGATTTTATCCCGGAAAGCTTGATGAATCGAAAACAGAAAACAGCTATTAGAGAGAGGAAAAAAGCTGCGTCGAATGGCACCCGAATTGCTTGCCGGTTGTTGTTCTGTGACGTTTGAGTTGACCAAATATGGAATTTGATAGCATTTTAAAATTGATTCCAGAAACTCTAAGAAGCAAGCTAAGGAAAAGAAAAAATTGCTTTGTGTCCCATATGGTTTGCTCTATCTATCTGTTACTTGTATTTCTTCGGAGATTATTTACAAAAATTTAGAAAAATAGCCGAACTTGACCATGGCAAAAAGATGAGTCGCAGATTTTGTTAATGTTTCGAGAGATCAATAAAAATTATGCAATGAAATTACAACCATTAGAAAGAGGATGAAATGCTGCATCGAATGCTTCTAAGACCTCTTGAAGATCTTGTTTCCATGAAATGTGGCGTTCATTTGAAAAAAGCGACATCACTTTCGGAACGACCTAATATTTAGCAAAAATCTGAAAAACAGCTGAAAAAAAGAAAAAATTGCACAACTTGGCAAAAGGTTTGCCCTATCTAATGGTTCTTAGGGCACCTCCGACATCCCATACAAAAATTTTGAAAATCAGTGAAAGTTGAACATGGTAAAAACGAATGGTTGCAATTTCCAGCGAATATCTCGTCACTCTCTTAAAGAAACACAATGGGAATTTAGCACCTGGAAAGAGGAAGAAATTCTGCATTGGAAACATTTTGAAGTGTTAGTTTATCTTCATTCTAACGTGTTTGGCGATGGATTGAAAAAAAAAACTGACAAAACTTTTGCACCGACCTAATATTCACAGTTATAAATAAGTCACTTGCACATTTTTTAAAACTCATGTAAACAACTTTCAAAAACTTTGTGACCCATTCTCAGGGGAGGGATGAATTCAGAATTCGTCCACACTAAAGCGAGATATGACCACGGGTGTTGTCGCGCGACTTTCGCGACCGTCGCTTAAGTTTACTTCAAAACGCAATTTCTTTTGAAAATTAGAAGCGTAATATAGTAAGAACTCTCCATATTCTGCAAGGTGTCCAAAAAGCGTATGCATTGTTTTATCGCTGAATCCCTCTTTTCGCACAGTCTTTTGGTTTCTTTCGGGTACTAAGCTGATGCATAATTTTTTTCCGATTTGTTGAAGTCGTCCTAGGAGATTTTCGTTCGAAATGCGATACTATCTATACCATTGAAAGCTTTTCTTGCCCTTTCTAATACATTTCATATTTTAATAAAGTCCCCAGTCTGACGAGATTCCAGGCTTAAGATCCTCAGATGCTCGAGACACGTTCTCAGCTAAGAAAATGTTCTTGCGAGAAAATCTCCACAATATGCTCTCCAAGTCAAGTCCTTGTATCGGTCACGGAACAAGGGTGAGACAATTTGGTATGTCAACTCACTTTCATGTAAAAAAATGTCTTGCTAGTAAAACTTGTTGTTGAAAATTATTCGTACAAAATTTCTACAAGCAATAACTTTTCTTAAATAGAAACAAGCGATGAGTCTGATGTTGGAGGTGCTGGACTTAAGCAAGTAATTCGCTCTATAATGTAAATTTAAAGGGCCGGGCATACTTCACGCGATTTCAGTCGCGACGCGATTTGGCAATATTTCAACTGTCCATAACTCACTGCGAGCACATTTCAAATGTACAGAAGGTAAGGCATTTTATTAATCCACGCAAGTTATACACAGTATGCATGTGCCTGCTAGTGTTGGATCTGGAGACATCTGGCGAATTGCCAAATCGCGTGAAGATGCCCGGCCCTTAAGTTGAAGCTGTCAAAGTGGGGCGTGAAGGGAGGCAAAAGACTTTTTGGGAAGAGAGATCAAACAGTATACATACGAAGCGAATGGATTGTTCGACTCTCTGTGAACCTCGACATGGCGTAGATATTGTAGTTGTCTATGTAAGCCGCACTCGAGATTGGTAATAATTATTTATTGGCTGACGTTTCGGCAGATCGCCTTCTTCAAAGCCTTTAATGGACAAAACGATCTGCAACCTATCCGATCGAACGTCTCTGCAGCTCCACAAGCAAAGTTCTAAGACTTTGCATGTTCACTGATTAGACTGCCAAACCAAAACTTACCTTTTTGAATATGCTGATGACATACAGGTGCCTAGCGATTACTAATGAATGACCATTATTAAATAGCGTGGCATACATGGTCATTCACCGCATATTCAAAAAGGTAGGTGTTTGGTTTGGCAGTCCAGTCAGAGAACAGGCAAAGTCTTAGAACTTTGCTTGTGGAGCTGCAGAGACGTTTGATCGGGTAGGTTACAGATCGTTTTGTCCATTCCAGGCTCTGAAGAAGGCGATCTCCGGGAACGTCAGCCAATAAATATATTACCAATCTTGAGTGCGGCTTACATAGACAACTATAGTATACATACGAACACCTTGTATAGAATAATTATTCGTCGAGTCGACACTGAGTTAATTTTTCTCTGTTTTCTGGTACTAAAACAAATTCAAAGCAAGCAGTGCATTAAGATAGAATTTATTAAGCAAGGTTAAATTTCGTAATCTGAACCAAACCGGAAACCGATGTATGAATGTATAAAGGATTTGAACACTGTCGCCTTTTTTTAGCTTAGCGTGGAGTGTAATGGGAGTGGAAACCAAATGGAATTCTGGATTGTGGAACAAGGAAACGGCCCATTTCTTTTAACGTTTCGGCATCGATTATAGCCACGTATGGAGTATCATTCTTTATCGTAGTCATCACGGGAACAAGCAGTATGCCTCAAAAATAGCATTGATTAACGTAATGAGAAGTAATAGTAACAAACCATCATCTTCTTTCTTATAGTCTGGCTTGTTGACCAAGATGGGTTCAGCGCATATTTGGGAATCATTGTCCATAAACCACACTTTGCTTGTTCTATTTTTGAGATCGACTTTGATTATCTGAAACACAAAGCTATCTTGTAGGATAAGAGAAACCAATCTAAAATGACTGGGTTCAAAATTTGATTTTACTTTTGCTACCATGGAAAATGATTTTGATCCTACTTATCTGCACTTTATAAATCACAGAACTTTTGCAGCGTCTAAAGAAATCAAATTAGACAAAAAGAAGCTCTTGCTCAATAATTTGAGTGAACTATGCGAAATGATGAAATGGGTTACGTAATTTTCTTAGACATTATGTGAACCAAGAGTCCACCTATCAAAACAGATTTTTGTTTTTTAGGGTGCTTCCAGTATGGTCTATGATAGCGCCGAGCTAGCACACCTTGCCAGCGCCGTACCAGCGCTCGATCAATACGGAGCGCATCCACGTGGGTGCCTACACGATGTCAGCATGGCCTTAGCACGGCGCTGGCACACGGCGATGTGATCCAGCTTGAGCGTCCACAAGGGATGTAGATCATATAACCATTCTAAAATCTCTTTCTATCAATTCTTCTCTTGCTGCTCACCCATATTTCCACTGTTCTTCTCCATTTCTTTTCCCCTACGAATATAAAAAAGGAACATACTCCATTTTTCGAATTGCCACAGAATACGTCGGCGCCATAAACGTAACGATAGTCCTTCATGTTGAGATCGTAGTTGTAGCGGGGAAAGTCAAATGCTGAAAGTTCTGCATACAATTAACGGAGGATCTCCAAAATATTGGGAGAAGAGGCGACGGAGACTTTTTTCGCAGTGAATGGGTGTGGGTGGCATGGCCGCTCCTCGGGGCAGTCATGACTCCAGAAAATATTTTTATGCTATGAATTAGGGTCTCGTAAAATTGATGAAATGATTCAATAAACTATTTCATTTTTTTCGCCAAAATTTGTCCAAAGGCTTCTCACTCAAGTGTATTGTCATCATGCAAATTTACACAAAATTTTTGCCGATTGTGCATTTTTTCAAAGAATTTTCATCTTTCTCAGTAGCAACTCACAAATTTCGCTCATCTTCACATCGGTGCAATGAATGCTTCCGTCCATTCGCAAAACTGCTTTACATCCGAAGTTGGCGAAAGAGCAAGAAGATAGCAGATCTTCGTCGGGTTTGCGGCTGTCGCTTACGGTCAACGGTATGATCATCCTATGGAGGTATGGAGCAAGGTTCGGGTTCTAAAAAATTTGCTTTGAATTAAGCAATTGTATGCGATCGTTATAGGTTAGATATACTCTAGTTTTGTAGGTTCCATCACGCATGTGTTCGAGTAAAAAATCGTCCAAATTGCCAGGATTTAGCATTTTGCAGTAGTCTACTACCAGGTATCCGTCCTTTTCGTAGGCATTCGCATGATGGTAGGTAAAAAATGCATCCGAAGTGATCTGTAATGAAAGAGTTGAATATGCACCGGTGAGGAAAGAACTGGTCCCTCTACCTTCCGCTCAATCTTTGTACGCTTTATCCTATCAAAAATGATAACATTTACACTTTTAGCCTTTTCGTCCCAGTACATGCACTCATTGATGCATTTTTGGGCTTCTCCTCTGCAAAACAAACTCTGATCACGGTATCTTAGGCTATGAGATCAAAAGCGTACTCCTTCTTCTGTGCTTTCTTCATTATATTGATTCTCTCCGGAGATTCGAAAAGTATAAAGTAATTTTCAGTCACTCCAAATGAGTGATAGTATGCTGGAGCCAGAGCGTCCGTAGCTGGTACCATACCTAGCAGCTCTGTATACTCGAAGCTGTGCGGGCTTTTTGCTCCTAATTATCAATTTGTCAGCTAGATTCGGATAAGTCTCTGAATTTTGCTTACCTTCGATTTTCAACGGATTTTTTATCTCCGCAAAAATGTAGTTCGATTTCCTTCCAAATTGGCTTCCGATGTTTAGAATATTTCCCGCAGGATCAGTGTGGGTATGGGCCGTGAAAGTATGAAGGACGATCTTCAAATGGTCACGGATGTCAACCTGAAACTTTGCGAGATCTGTGCAAAACGTCGCGATTTTCTCCAAAAGACCCAACTTCACGCAAAATCTCCCATGTATTTCCGGCATTCTGGGCCCGCGGCATTTTGGGGAATTTTACGGGATAGAGAATATTGCGGAGTTTCGGGCTTCTTTAAGGTAATTTTGCACGTTCTATGCGCGGTATCGCAGCTCAGATTATAATTGAGCAAAGAGCATGGGTTCAGCAAGAATAAAAAGGCTACACTTCAGCGATAGATATTCATGCACCATTGTCCGTGGAACTTCTACAGTAACTCTGGGAGAGAGTCACAAAATTCTGCGCACACTACTTTTTCACTCAAAGCTTTGCAGAAAAATTCAAATATTGTTCTTCTGTAAAATTAATTATTGACTGAGGGTCTTTATGCAAGTAGTTCCGCCCTAGATTTTGGGATAGCATGACCTTGAAAATACATTTCTGACAAGTTGGGGATTAATTCCTTTCTTCGACGATTCGACGATATCTTACGCCTGAAACGATGGCCCAAAGATATCCGAAAAAACGAAACTTACGTTAAAGCAAATAATTTCAGCACAATTTTAGAGGCTCAAAAATCGCTAACAAATTCTCACCCTGTCTTTGTAGTCAAGCGAGTCAATGTCAACCCTGGCTAAACAAGGAATTTCCGTCAAAGCGTAGACAGCATCACCAACTGTTGTGAAAGCAATAAGACAGTTGTCTCGTAGCTCATTCTCAGTTGAAAATGTGCTGGCCAATCTAAAACACCTCGACATGCCTACCTAATTTGAAGGTTCATCCAAACCCACTCTCCACAAGATCTTGTGCCGAAAGCTGTAGCTACCAATCGCTGTGCAGCCATACACGCCTTATATGCCTCACTTTCTAGGTAGCGAGCCGAATAGAACATCTAAATTCTCGAATTTTGGACGGCATATGAAAAAAGTTCTCAAATTGCTGACTTTGCCATTGGAAAAGTGATATCTCTGAATGTAAGCCAATCCATCGAACCAATGCTTGTATTCAGTTCCGCCAAGCTTGAACATTCCAGGTCCATTTCGAAGCATTGTACCGCTAAGCCATGATGGGACACTTCCTACATTAGAATAAGACCAGCTGACTCATTAGCATAGGAAATGTATGCTTCGAAGAGAAATTCAACTAGCCAACTATGCTTTGGGAAAAAAAATAAGGAAAATTTGTTGCAATTTCAATGTCGACTTGTCATGAATTTTTGAGAGCGCACAAATTTTGATTCTTAATCGATGGTCCTATGCGGAGCGTAAGTAAGCCAAGGGGTGACGCAACCCTTCGTTAATCAATGGGGCTAGAGCGTATATTTTGAATTTTACCGTTTTTTCTATAGTCATGAGAAAAATTAGGGTGTAGTAAGCTTTTCTAAAATACTGGGCGAAATGTGGTGTGAGAACGCATTCAAACAAAAGGTCAAGCGGTTTAATTACCCAATTATGACTATTTAAGAATTATTTTTTGAAACATACCAACTCCACGTAGTTCTAAAGAAGCTTACAAGGGAGGTCCATTTAGTAGAAGAGGCCTTTTTATGTGACTCGTAAACCAATTTGAAGATCAATGAAAGATGGTTTCAGATTTGCCCTCTTATCTGCCAAGCGCTTCTGGAGGCCAAGATATAAGCGTTTGACTTTTCGGCAGTCAATTTTGTTTGCGCGTGATTGAGCCATAAAGTAAATTAGATAGAGATCAATGTTGGAACGCTAAACAATGGCTTTTGCTTTAAGAGAGGAAATTTAGGCGGAGAGCTGAGCATCAGCTTGTAATCAATCTTATGATAAACTGTCATAACAGATTCTTTTTTATTAAGTCAACAGCAGCTTTTCTAAATTGATTAAGGCTGAATTCCGAAGGTCTTGTGGATATAGGGAAACTTCATCATATTGGCTATATCAATATTAGCTGGTCTTTATTTGATTGCTCTATAAAAAAAATTTTTTTTTTGAATTTGTGAATGTATGAAGCTAGTGAATCTCAGCACAGTTACAGCAGTGCTTCGCCATAAATGACATTTTTTAGCGATCTGCCTCAACATTCACTTTAAACTGGCTGGAGAGCGAACACGTGAGAATGCTACATATAGTTGACGGTGAGAAAATACGTCTTCTGGGAGATACACCCCCACTCTGTAGAAGGATTGTCCTTGCGATCTGTTCATGGTCATGGCAAAAGCGACGCGTTCGTCGTTTTAGTCGAAAAGGAATGCTTCCGTCCGTATAATTGAAATTCTCAATCGCCGCATTTTCTTCATATCGAGACCGAATGCCTTTTCATGTTTTCGTGTTTTTCTAAAATCTCTTAATGTAAATATTACTAACTTCATTGACGTCTTATGTTGGTGTTTACTAACAAAGTGGCACGCCTATGAGCGTATTATATAAATATAAATATAAATAAATAAATAATAATATATTTTGAGAATCATTGCAAATTCATACTTATGGTCAGCACATGGAATGGCAATCAAGAATGCGACGTCCTAAAGTTTCGACTCTTAAACGCGTACCATTGCACAGCCCATTAGCAATATCTAGATTACGAAGGAGCATCACAATGGTTCCCTTTTTTAATCGCAATTCGCGACCGGTGATTCAACTGATACTGCAAATCTAAGATGAACCTCGCTCTACAGAAGGGTACTTGAATAGCCAAAAAAGACGAAATGGGAAGAGAGGTATTGACGTTTAAAAAGTGTGTACTTACTTTTGGGACACCCTGAAAGTATTTCTTTCATAAAAACCTGATGGCACCCTTTTGATGTTTCCTTTCTTACTGAAAGATACGGAATGTGCTGGCTCTTCACCTAGATTACCTTCAATATAGCTAAACGCAATATCTATACTTTATGCAATGTAAGAAATATAGAACAACTGTAAAGGTTATGCGCATAAAAGTGCTAAATTTCGGCGAAAGTTTATGTCTGCATTTACTGCATGAAAGATTGAGTCCTAGTTAAACTTCTACTCAGAATAGAAGGCTACAGAATTTTAAGGTCATGCGAATCCATAAACTTGGCGATTATTTGACGTACCATTTTTGAGACTGTGCATCAAAAGCTCTCCGTTTCTGTGCAGGTTATTTATTCGCAGTGGTACTACAGCATTTGTGCTCGCATGATAACTTTTTTGACACACACCGCGCAGAACTGACCATCACGAATAAATTGTAAACAACTATCCATTCCAAAAGTTACTCCAAGTAAGGTCGGTGACCTTGAAAAAAAAACGTTTTTGCAGGTGAAAAATGTGAATTTAAAATTGATTAACGGATTTATTTTGGCATGATATTCGCCGTGAGGACACTAACCACTGTAAGCTAGACCTCTGAGCAAGAATCTTCTCGATTTCTCAAGCGAAACTATAATTGATCGACGATCTACGCAATCATTGTTTTTGGCGCCATTTCCGGAAAGAATTCAAAATTTGGTGATTTTTTGGGCTTCAATCGATGGGCTCGCAGATATACACGCCAGACATGGTTCGAGACTCCGTAAAGAGTCTAAATACAGCTCCAGTTTTGCGGGCCAAAAACCGCGTAGCCCGTTTGATGCGCAGTTTTCGTAGGTTTCACGCAGCAATTCTGCTCGTGTTTTGGGATTATGGACCTACATGCTGGTGACGTTCGTCATGCAAAATTCTGGCTTGGAACGTTTGTTGCAACTCACTGTATAAATTTCGTGACATACAGCTATATACACACAGACATACAAACAGACAGACGACTTTAGCGCTTTATTGTTAAGTACTGATTTTTGTGTATTAATCTAGGTGTAAATAGAGCGTCTGCCATCTCATAAAAAAAAGGACCAACAACGGCACCCGTGACAAAATTTCGGAAAAGGAGTTCTGCCAATATTTTTGAAAGAAATTGTCAAGCTACTTGGACTTTCAAGAATTCAAAATGGAATCATCAAACGGAGCGACAGCCTTAACAACAAGATATTTCATCAGACCAATCGCTTTCTTATAGTGTTCGCCACCATATGCTGCTAATTGAACTTACCAATCAGTTTGCATTCGCTCGGCTCGTTGACATTCTCGAAATTCTCAAACAGTTGCTTATAACCCATTGCATATGTATTGCTATCACAACAAATCTGAAAAAAAAGTATACGGTTCAAATTTCTATTTTTGTCTTGATGTCAGCGCATCTAAAGGTATTGTTGAAAGCAGTAGACAAGTCTAGTTTGTAGCGCCATGGAGGCAAAGTCCCATCTGGAAAACCATAAAGATAATAGGGAACGAACTCAGACAATTCAAAGCGTGCGGACTACTGGTCCTGCAACGACATGTGTAACAATATAGCAAAAGGACCAGAGCCAGCGAAAGCGGGCTCAAACTGGTAAAGTCGTTCCCCTACCCAAGATAAGATGTTGCCTAAAAAACTCCTCTTGCGCATTTTCATATTGTAAGTAAACTGAATAACGACAGTATTGACAAGCAGTCTGATCATCCCGGCTTGCGCCGGACTCTCAGATTTTTTCTCAAAACAACCTCATTTAGTCTTGACTTTTCGGCAATCAATTCTGTTTACGCTGATTGAGCCATAAAGTAATTAGAGATCAAGTCGTTGGAACGCTAAACAACGGCTTTAAAAAGGAAATGTTTTGGGCAAAGAGCTGAGCATCAGCACCTTTTTATTGAGTTAGCACCTTTTCTAAATTGTCTGAAGCTGAATTTTGGAGATCTTGTGGATATGGGGAAACTTCATCATATTGGCTATATCAATATTAGCTGGTCTTCATTTGGTTGCTCTATAAAAATTTTTTTTTATTTTGTGAATGTGAAGCTGGTGAATACCTCGCAGCACAATTACAGTAGTACTTCGTCGTCTCAACAGTTCACGTTTAAACCGGCTAGAGAAGCGAACACGTAAGAATGTTACATATAGTTGACGGTGAGAAAATACGTCTTCTGGGAGATACACCCCCACTCTGTAGAAAGATTGTCCTTGCGATCTGTTCATGGTCATGGCAAAGGCGACGCGTACAGAAAATTGTCGTCGTTTTAGTCGAAAAGGAATGCTTCCCGTATAATTATCTATTTTGAGAATCATTGCAAATTCATACTTATGGTCACCACATGGAATGGCAACCAAGATTGCGACGTTTTAGAGTTTCGACTCTCAAACGCGTACCATTGCACAGCCCATTGGCAATATCCAGATTACGAAGAAGCATCACAATGGCCCCCTTCTTTAATCGCAATTCGTGTAATGGCACCTCGGAAGGTTCGAGCGAATTTAGGTACTATCGGAAACAACCCTCTATAGCACCTTCTGGGACCACAGCTTCGTCCGCACTTCTCTATACACGTTCGTCCTCTCTCCTGACGCGCAATCGTTCCATGGCTCCCTCGTTGAGCCTCTTCACATGCGTGTTTTTTCAGCCAGAATTGCTCTCTTGTATAGTCCTTCCGCTTCCTGATCTGACATTGCACCGAAGATTGCCATGATTGAGTCTCCTGAGCATAGGAAGTCATCTTGCAGTTCAATTTCGTCCTCCTCATTGTTAGCTCGTCCGTTTCCCACATCAAGAAGAAACTTGTGCCAGTCGCGGCCCGCATCTCTGGATCTCATATTGGCCTGTAAACGATACACTCTGAAAAGCGGCCACACTACCGATCGAGTAACACAGCATTCAACAATCCCTTCTCGTTTTCCGTGCTCAACAACTGGTAGGATCTGTCGGAAACCACCTCCCACAATAAGCAATTAGCCGAATAGCATATCGTTCTGCATCAAATCATGCAGCAGTGCATCTACAGCTTCAAGAGCACATTTCGGTGCGTGTATTCATGAGCTGGCGTGCTTCCTTCTGCTGTCGCTTCGTGGTTGAGGTGCGATTTCCGTCTGCCATATTCATTTAAATGCTGAATTCAAAGTCCTGCCTCCAAGCAGCAGATTTGACCGATACCTGTCCATGCTACACAAAGTACTTGGCGCTGCTCCCACAACGCTAAGCTGTAAATCGTCCTGTACAGGTATGTTTTTCTTGTCCCACCGGGTCCGTCGATAAAAAAGCATCGGTGGTTATCGCAGCTTATAGCTTCACATATATCATTAGCCGCTTTCTTTTGGTCCGTGTTCAACGTTTCGTATAAGCGTGACCCGTCTGAGCGATGGAATTCATGATTGACAGCACTCGTATGCATGGGCGGTCGTTCATTGGCAGGCGACGCAATCATGTGTTGCAAAACTTTGCCCATAAGTACCATTCTGTCTGCTACATCATAATAAGCAATCGCAGTAGCTTGCCGTTCATCGAATCCTTCATGCGCATAATCTTCAGACAATGCTGTAGCAAGTTCGTTCCATAATTCATGGGCGTTTGCCACTTCACACTAACAGAGTAAGCAAGCAAAAAAGCTGCTTAGCGCAGCTAATGTTTGGAAGTGCATTGCCTTTATCGTCTAACAAACCATATGCTTTGGGTGTATCTAAGAACGTAGAATATATCCGTCCCTTCACTGTTCTTAGGTCTTCAAAACAAACATGTTTTCCCTCTAGTATTTAGTAGCAGAAGACGCAGACAATATCTTTCAACATCTCTTGGCGATACTGTATACATGCTTCCAAGTTCTCCTCCTCTCCGTCTTCTCGGTCGCCACCTTTGTTGAGCGGTGAAGGTGAAATGCTCCGGCAATTCGTAATAGTAGAGCTCTGTGGGGTCAGCGCTTGCGGTACGATTGTTTACGCCTGTCGTTCTGCGTAGTTGATTTAGTTTGAAGTATGCTGTCAGAGTGGTGAAACGACTCTGTGCCCGTTCAAAATACTGTTGTTCTTCACGAAATGTACCGTCTGAAATTCTGGTAAATGCGCAGCCATTTGGCATACGTTATGTGATCTGTCCTGCATGCAAAAAGTCAAATACTCTGTGCAATGCTTGAGGTGGGCGCACATATCGCTTATTCAGGTGCTGCTTGATTTCATCGGAGTCTGCTCCACCTTCACTTTCAAGGGTGACTCGTGCTCTGTCTGGACTCTTATAAATGTGATTGTATTAGTATTTGACAGCCGATATAGTGTCGCATACCTCAAGAATTATGTGGCAGTTGAATTTGGTGATTAGATACAAATTCGTCGGAACTAACCATGCATCATTGTAGACTATGCCACTGACAGTATAGATTGCTCTGTTTCTTCTTCTGTACATCGGATAGCCATCAGCTCCCATTGATGTATTTCGCACAATTGCTTAGGAAAGCGCTTAGAACACTTTCCGTCGCGCATGCAAGGCGAACTTGGGTCGCTTGCACCATCTTTTTTATGCAACATATATGCGGTGGCAGCTGCATATGCTGTCGGCTCCTACTCTGGGTCTGCATTTCCGCACATACGACATTATCAACGCCTCTAGCCGTCTGTACTTTGTATGCAGGTTTCATGATCAGGAGCGTATGACAATGAGGTAATCTCCTTTTTTGGAATTCGATCACATACACGTAAGCATCAACTTCGCCAAGAACTCGCTTTTCTTAAAGAGATCGTCGCATAACTCCTTGAGTTTGCCGTGGAAAATCCGCGCAATTAGATCGGGCCTGTCTGAGGCGGTTCGGCCTTCGTACAGATTTTCTTGGATCTCGCGCTACCGAGGACTGCATGTGATTGTCAAGAATTAGGTGGGCTTGCCAAACCGAGCGACGATTGCCATGGCATCTTGATATGATTGCATTGCTCTCGGACTATCCACATGAGAGGATGGTAATATGATGCGACTGCCAGGAGAACCTTGGTTATTTTCTCCCTGAGATAATCATATAAACCTCTGTAGGACTCGCTTCGTAGAACTTGCTGATGGGTCCTTTGGTAATTAAGGCGATTTTGTTCTACTTTCACATAAGCATCAACAGCAAATTGTTGGAAGAGCTTCCTCGCGTACAAAATCGGATTGAAGCTGTCACGAATGGAGAATAGGTAAGAGTAATACTTCATTTGCGTAATGCGGGCTCCTCTTCTGTCCAACAAAGTGGGATTCCACCCGTCTCTTCCGGTGGGAAAAAGGAGTGGATACGTGAGAGGGTTGCATCTTTTATCAATGTCGCTTATGTTCACTAAACGAACCCCTTTTGATTCTCGCAAGTGAACCGTTAGCCTTCGTACAGGCGGGATGTCATTATCCTCTCCGACGTAAACGATTGCAACTTTATAAGTAATTGGCATGGAGTATTTTCCCCTAGTAACCCCTCTTTCTCTATTGTCATCGAAAATTATTCTGATTACTGGTGGCTGTCTGTTCTCCCGACGTGCGGCTTCCTGCTTAGCTCGTTCAACTTTGTGCATCATTCGAAATGATTGTGCGTATATGTTGTTACGCGCAAACCATTCGCTGAGGTAAAGCATCAACTCGGGGTCGCAGTTTACATTTTGCGCATTTTCTAAGCGCAAAATGTAAACTGTCGCTGTCGCGCGGCAAGTTCAGTGTCAAATACGTATATCTGGCCATACTGCCTCTCGCGCTCGTTATTTGGATGGAGAGGTCCAACTTGATGATAAACTTGACCGTGTATTCTAAAACAGTATGGACCTCGTCCTAGTGGTACGTCTACCTGGGCTCCCAAAGATGCCATAGCCAAGGCAGAATTAAAGTTTCTCATATTAGCAAAAAAGTTATCACGTTGTTGCCTGGTCTCGGATGATGTCGTTTCAATAGGACAGAAAAGTTTTTTTATCTGGGCGCGAGAGTTATTAAAAACATCTAAATTGAAGCGTCTGTAATCACAGCAATCACCAAACACATCGGCATGCTGCGGCTTCACTTCAAAAGCAAAATCTTGCACCACAATTAGCGCAACGACGATCAAGCTCACCCAGATAGTTGCCTTCTGTATTGCGCTCTCTGAGCGCAATGCCAAGTGATTCGTTGGGAACAGAATTCTGAAGCCGCCTACACTGATCAGGGATACTGCGCCTACCACCTTGATTCTGATTATTTTTACGTTGAGCTTGACGACGTTCCGCAATGATATCCGCGAGCTTGCTTGGTCTTGATTTTGACGCTGACGCAACCTTCGATGACGTTCTGCGTCTACTCTCAAGCGGAGTGCTCGTTCTTCTCCACTTTCTTGAGCTCGCTGCAGCTGATGGCGCATTGCATCTTG